GCCAGACGCATTCTCCAATGCATCGTAGGCCCGCTTCAGCGTGGTGTACGCCTCATCCTTCTCCAGAATGATTGCATCCTTTGCCTCGATCGTCGCTTTCATCTGCCTGTTCTCTTCTGCCAGACGGTCCTTCTCAGTTCCCAGCATTCCCGTGTCCTCGCGCAGAAGCGTCATCTGAGCGTTTAACTGATTGATCGTATGATCACCCTTCATCCGTTTGAGAATCTCCTGCAAAAAAGGGAAAGCGCGTCACCAAACGCTCTGCCGGAATGGTGGGTTAGAATGTTACTAGACGCCAAAAAGTCTTACCGCTTCTGTCGACAAGGTGATGTCTGATCGAAGCCTGATCCCGTATGCGTCCCTCGACGCCACTTCAATCGCCCACGTTTGGAACAGCGTCTCATTGCAAAGTTTGGAAGCCTGGACGTATGGATGCCGCGGATTTGTACAAGGACGCGCGCCTCCCGTGAAGGGATGCTTGTCACAGTGGACCCACATCATGGCTAGATCTTCGGCCACAATCCTGCGCCCAACATCCTTCAGGCTGTTCAAAAAACGGGCGCCGGCAATGTGGATGCCGTCTGTAGATTTGTCCTTGTTGAACTCCTGGACCTGCAAGATTTCCGACCCGAAAAAGCCCTTGTTAAGGTCAGCAGAAACGCTCCCACAGATACGATCCCACAGACACTAGTCACAGAAACGATCTCACAGAAACGCACCCACATAGACTTTCCCACCTTACATTCGCTCCAACAGAAACCACACCACAGAAACGGTACCACAGAAACAATCTTACAGAAACGCACCCACAGAAAGTTTGCCACAGATAAGCTACCGCAGATACGCCGCCACGATCAACGAGACCCTTGACATACAAGTGCTCCCAAGACAAATACAAAGCCACAAAGCATCTGCAAATGCGATTCAGACCCGCAGAAGTGACCGTACCTTCTTCAATTCGCCCTCCAGCCACGGGTAAATGTTCTGAACGAACAACTCTTCCAAACCGTCTGGCAGAGGGACGTCGTGTCTTCCAATGTAACAGTCTCCCTCCAAGCCGCTGAATCCAGCCAGCAGAAAGAGAGCCTGTTGTGGAGGTGAGACGAGGTAACACTTGCGCATCTCATTCTGTTCCCATCCTCCTAGATGTGTAATCTGCGGTTCTGGACAGAGAAGGTCGCAGAGGATCTGTGCAGCGGATCTTCTGAAGATGTGGGTGACCTTGCTCAGCAACCAGTTGGCCGATTTTATCGCCCAACCCACCCACTTGTTGTGGGTCTTGTACGGCAGCTCCCCCTGCTCGGGGTCGTCCAGGGCGAAGAAGAGGTGCTTCGACGACCACTTCGTCGGGTGGGAGAAATCGAGAGGCTTAATTATCTCCCTCTTATCACCCTTGTAGTACAGATGCATGAGGTCGTACACCCAGTGGATCCACAGAAACACGGCACCCATGGCGCACTGCTGCCAGTAGAGGCTACGCGTTAGAAACTGGTGGTCCAACTTGTTGTCGTGCACAACCTTCGACTTTCGGCTCGCTATGACGAGGACGGGCACCTTTGTGGGGGCGGCAGACGAGGTGTTGCTCGGAATCTCATGGATGTACATGTTGGCGAAGCGGATCTGTCGAATGCTGCAACCCCTTCCCAACACGTAGTGTGACAAAAGAATCATCACCTTCACCGCCAATGCCCTCCACAGAGTCAGACTGGGCTCATTCACAGCTTTGTCGAACTCCTTTATGGCAACGGTCGGCAAGGTCGACTCGTTCAACTGGCGAAACTGGTCCGCGGAGTAACAGTCGTCGAGGGACCCTCGATGTTGATCCTTGCCCTCTCTGCAGAAAACGCAGTGGAAGAAATGTTAGATGTAAATCTTTGCTCAACGACCATGCTGTGAAGGCAAGGTAGACAGAAAACGTAAAACCTTACGCGATCTGTTGAGCGTTCAACTGTCGTAGCTTGACCTTCACAAGATCTCGTGCAGATGCGATAAGGGCTGCCGGCAAGGATGCGTCCTCGTTGAACAGAATGGCATCGACGGAGCAGAGGCAGCCCAAGGCGTTCATCCGGGCTTTCATCATGCCCGCCGTGCATTTCTTTGGGGCTTTCCCTGCGATGACCTTCTGACCCTCTTTTAAAGCTTCGGCCTACTCTTTGGTCTGCCAAAACATGTACTCGACATACGCTTCGAGCCTCCACTTCGTCGTGCGTGGTCCATGCAGATGGATCTCGGAGAGGGGGACTTTACACCAATCTTTCCCCAGATTGTTACCCAGAGTCTCGCCGATCTCCTCATCGTCCTCCAGCAGCTCTCCCTCCGGAATCTTCAGATCCTTGACTTCGTTCAAGAAGTTGACGACCCACTTCTTGAACTCCCAAAAATACCCGGCGTACTGTGGTCGAGTGCTTTTCGCCTCGACCTTCAGCAGAGGAACTGATGCCCGCTGAACCAAGCTTTCTTTGGTTGTTGTCTCCACGTACGCATTACCCGAGTACATGTTTCTGCTGAGCTGACGCGGGACCTCTACGCGGGCAGCCGATTCAGAGCCCTCTTCCTCTGCCTCCTCCTCCTCCCCCTCATCCCCCCGCTGCCCGCACCCCTCTCCCTCCCCCTCCTCTTCTGGTCGTTCTCCGGTCAGATACACCCCAGGATCTACCAATCCCTCATCTCTTAGTTTTTTCTTCGGCGCCCATTCTTCCTGCGGCTCCGGTGTATAAATCGGATCATCTTCTACATCATTTCCCTCAGACGAAGCCCCAACAGCATCCGCCTCTGCTTCGCCCTGTGCACACATTATGAACGTTTCATCTTCATCCGCCTGCGTACAATCTACGAGCATTTCAACGCCATCCAATTCCATCACGATCCTGTCTGAGGAAGTCTACGACTGACAAAAACGCCCCCGCGGTAACCCTCCCACAGAAACGTCCCAGCAGAAACGCTCCCACCCTAAACCCCCACAGAAAACGTCTCCACAGAAGCGCCTCCACAGCAACGACTCCACAGAAGCGCTCCCAGAGAATCGCTCCAAGAGAAAAACACGCAAAGAAACGCTCCCATAGAAACGTGCCCACAGAGACGCCTCCGCAGAAACGCTCCCAGACAAACGTGCCCACAGAAGCGTGCCCACAGAAACGCCTCCGCAGAAACGCTCCCAGACAAACGTGCCCACAGAAGCGTGCCCACTGAAACGCCTCCGCAGAAACGCTCCCAGACAAACATTCCCACAGAAGCGCCTCCGCAGAAATACTCCCACAGAAACGTGCCCACAGAAAGGCCTCCGCAGAAACGCTCCCACACAAACGTGCCCACAGAAGCGTGCCCACATAAAAGGCCTCCGCAGAAACGCTCCCAAGCAAACGTGCCCACAGAAGCGTGTCCGCAGAAACGCTTCCGCAGAAACGCTCCCAGACAAACGTGCCCACAGAAACGCCTCCGCAGAAACGCCTCCGCAGAAACGCTCCCAGACAAACGTGCCCACAGAAACGCCTCCGCAGAAACGCTCCCAGACAAACGTGCCCACAGAAACGCCTCTGCAGAAACGCCTCCGCAGAAACGTTCCCAGACAAACGTGCCCACAGAAAGGCCTCCGCAGAAACGCTCCCACACAAGCGTGCCCACATAAGCGTGCCCACAGAAACGCCTCCGCATAAACGCTCCCAGGAAAACGTGCCCACAGAAGCGTGCCCGCAGAAACGCCTCCGCAGAAACGCTCCTTGACAAACGTGCCCATAGAAGCGTGCCCACAGAAACGCCTCTGCAGAAACGCTCCCGCACAAACGTGCCCACAGAAACGTGCCCACTGGAACGCCTCCGCAGAAACGCTCGCACATAAGCGCCCCCACAGAAACGCTACCACCGAAAATTCCCCAAAGATACGCACCCACAGAAGCGCCCCCAGAGAACGGTCCCTCGGAAACTCTTCGACGGATGTGCACCCACCGAAACGACGAACCTAACTTTTGAGCGCCCAAGTCCCCAGAATTCACGTCGCAGATTCGAAAAAAGGAGACAAATCCGAGAGCACGCCGTTTTATACCTGCCCCCGGGTTCCCGGTAGAAGAACATAGGCCAAGCAGACACTTTTCGTTATATTTGCTCATCACCAAGCAACAAGGTGTTCTACAGTATAAGGGGTACAAGAATCATTCATCAGGTATCTTCTAGATACCACTCAACCGTAGTGTTTCAACAACATGTATCCTTGTCCCCCGGGTTACCAACGCCATCGAGAGTGTCGTCGAACGACGTCGCTAGACGACGCGGAGATCGCTGTCAAACGCTTTCCGTCGCCAGCTACAGTGGCGGCGACGACGGACGGACGGAAACGGGGTTTTATCAAGAGGGGCACGTTTTTTTCCCATCCCCTTCGACGACGTGATCCCCGGAGGTTCGGCATTCGGGGGGCGGCAGGCGCTGGCAGGGCCCCCCCGACTGTTCCGCCCTAGGGGTCCCAGTCCCAAATGCTGGGACCTGGGCCTTGGGACTGCCGGGCAAACGCGCGGGACCTGAGAGAGTTGGGAGTCCTATTCCTACAAGTTGGCCGTGTGGCTTCCAAGCGAGGTTGGGAAAGTGCACCTGGTTTGGGTGGTAACCAGTGCTCTCGAAGTCACTCTCTGGCTTCCTCAACGTCGACGTCGACGTCAACGTCAAATGCCTGCAAAACTCAGCCAATGACGCAAACTTGCAAAAGGGCTTCATAGCGCAGCGAGGAAACCAGCGTGTAACATCAGCAAAAACCAATTCTTCGTGAAATAATCATGTCGGGGACGCGCCGCGTGGTGTTCGGCACGCGGCTCCACGTTTCTGCACGTGCAATTTTTGTCACAATTCGCAAGAAATCGGAGAGGACTTTCGGCATTTCTTGATTCCACCTCGTTGAGTTGGCATTTATGGCAAGTCTAGTTTCTGCATACACCTGCATCAGCTGCATCTAGCTAATCTTGTTTCTTGCTCGCTGCGTGAGATGGGAAGCCAGAGTAGAAAAGTGAGCGCGACGCTTCGGAAGGAAGAAATGCATTGCCACACCGAGTTGGTTCCTGCGGGAAGTTTTCCAGGTCTGACTGACAGCACGTTCACGCCAGAGCCTAGCGACCACAACCAGTAGAACCACTGATCCGACAAAACATCAGCACCTCGTCAGCGTCTTCGATCCTCTGATAAGATATACTCTTTCCAGCGAGCTCGTTTCAGGGCGTCAACGTAGTCGCTCCTTTGGCTTCAAGCTCTTGTCCGTACTGTTGGCATGATAAAGTGACTTCGTCACATGGAGCCTTTCATTGAACAAGCTGCTTCGTCAAGTGATCCTTCTGGTTACACCGGTAGTATTCATAATCCTATGCGAGAAAACAACGCCATGTTATTCATACACGGTTTGAGATTACTGAACTACAAAAAACAAACCCTAAGCCGTGTTTTTCGCCATGGTTTATGGATCCCTCTGCCCAGTAATCAGACGCCTATCATAACTTCCCCTGTTGATATGCTTGCTACTACTGTTATGATCTCAATTCCCTCTCCCTTCCCTCTCCCTTCCCTCTCCCTTCCCTCTCCCTTCCCTCTCCCTTCCCTCTCCCTTCCCTCTCCCTTCCCTCTCCCTTCCCTCTCCCTTCCCTCTCCCTTCCCTCTCCCTTCCCTCTCCCTTCCCTCTCCCTTCCCTCTCCCTTCCCTCTCCCTTCCCTCTCCCTTCCCTCTCCCTTCCCTCTCCCTTCCCTCTCCCTTCCCTCTCCCTTCCCTCTCCCTTCCCTCTCCCTTCCCTCTCCCTTCCCTCTCCCTTCCCTCTCCCTTCCCTCTCCCTTCCCTCTCCCTTCCCTCTCCCTTCCTCTTTGCACAACTTCCCATCCGGCAGCTAATCCCACAGCACACCTACTCAGCAAAATGGGCCATCTCCGTTACAAACCAGCTCTCCTACTCGCTACAATCCTCCTCCTCGCCTACCCTCCCCCACTTCTCTCCCAAACGCCTGCCGACGCCCTAGACTGCTCAACAGAGCAGCTGTACCCTCTAGGTGTCTACGTCTTCTGCTCTCTTCCCAGCCCCTCCATCCGCTTCACCTGCCTCTTTGGCGGGGGACGGAACGCATTCACTCGATGGACAAACAACCCGCAGTGCTACAAGATAAGGAAAGGCGCCCTCTGGTGCCTCAACTGCCAGATGCGGTGCAAGCCGCTGCCCCGGTGCTGTGACTCCACCGCTGTAGCGGATGTGACTCTAGCGATGAATTGGACAAACGCTGGCCCGCTGTTCATGTTCACCCGGATTTTGGGGCTCAAGTGCCCCGGGAATGGGGCGTGTTGGTGGGACGGGGGGTACCCTCAGTGCGATGCATCAGGCATGTCAACTAATAACTTTGTGCCCACCATGCCCTGTTCCTGGCGCCTCGGAAACTTCAAGAGGGTCAGGTGCTAACCTGCAGTACATGGTGAGCCACGCCCACTGTGATTATGAAGTGGGTACACTGTCTAATAAATTGCTGCTTTTATGTCGACTCAAGAGCAGTACGTTCACTTGTGAATCCTGCCGTGTGCTGTGTTTGGCACCCTAGGAACTCCAAGAGGGCCGGTTGGGTTGCCAGTCATGCTTCTTATTGGTAACGTGGTATCCTTGTTAGGCTTTCTGTGGGAGGCTTGGGTGCTATATAGCCTGGGCATAGTGCTCTGGTCTAGCACCTTGACAAGAGTACAGAATAATACCTAGTAGCAGGCACTGCAATGAGTTAATTAACTACCGGTACCTTAAATAGTAATAGCTGCTGGTACCACGTCTGGCTGGAAAGCCCTGCTGTCAATAGCTGCAAACACGTGGCCCTCACCTGCAAATTCTGTTCCTATGGCCCTCTTCTGCAACTTCTGTTCTTATATTCTAACTCTCTCCTGTAGCATCCATTCCTAAGCAAATGCATCATAGCTTGTCCATCTCCTAGACTCCTCCCCTTCATAGACCATCACCCGCCCACTCCCCGCCACCCTTTCCCTTAAACAAGACTCCACACGTGTAAACCTCCTTCTACTAAGCACCTGTCATGTACAGCACTGTCTTACGGAAAGGCATCATCATACCTCGCATTAGAGTATCTCCGCCTCCACATCCTCCCCCTCCCCGCCATTTCCCCCCTACCCGCCACTCCTCCTCTTCCCCATTCCGCCGGCTCCCCCCACCTCCTTCCTTCCCCCCAGCTCCCTCTAAGCATCCTATCCACTCTGCCACCCTTCCCCACTTCCCCCTTGCCCACTTCCCCCTTCCCCCTTCCCCCTTCCGCCCTTCTCCCCACCTGCACCCCTCCCCACTCCCCCACAACCACCTCTTCCTCCCCTTTCCCTGCGTCCGACTTCTGCTCAGTTAAAGCCCCTACTGACACCCATTGATCTTCCCCCTCCGCCTCTTCCCCCTCCCCTTCATATTCCCCGTCCCCGTCAGTTCCTTCTGCCCCCTCCCCTTCTCTCTTCCCCCACGCCTCCCGCGCCCCTCCGCTTCCCCCCTCCTCTTCCCCCTTCACCCACACCTCCGCGTCCCCTCCGCTTTCCCCCTCCGCCTCCGCCTCCGCCCTCCAGAGTGCTTCCTTCCGCAACACATCCGCCTTCTCCCCCGCAAGCTCCCCCTCCCCGCGGCACACGAACGAGTCTTTGGGATCAGGCAGGTACCCCTCGTTACAAGCACATGTAACGTTCCTCATCAGGCCTTGAAACAGCGAGCTTTTTGGAATGCACGTTCCCTGCCCACCGCACTGCCCGGCGAACGAAAATGTTTTGCAGAAAGCGTTGCAATTGGCGGGTTTCCGTTGCCGCTGGAGAAAGTGTAGCGGGCAGCTGAAAGAACCGGACATACAGTTTCCCCCCACTGAAATCCGCAGGCCAGGCACACGGTCACTTGTCGGGCAAATCGAAGCGTTTCCCATCACCATTTTCAGCGGGCCGTAGAGGTAGTTGTTCGAAACGTCAACGAAAAACTCGGATTCGCCGTTGATCTCGCCATCTTTCGCAGGAAGATCGGGCAGCTGACCGGTGAGAAAATTGTTTGCCACGTTAAGCATGTAAAGGCTGGGCGAACGCGAAAACACTTCGGGAATTCGCCCGTACAACCGGTTGTGACTCAAATCCAGCGAATACAGATTCGGAGCTGTTCCAATCGCGTACGGAATCTGCCCGTCTAGACGGTTGAAACTGAGGATGAGTACGGACAAAGACGGAGATGCTCCTAACGAGGATGGAATCTTCCCGCTAAGCTGGTTGTGCTGAAGAATGAGAGACGAAATCGAGCGACTGTTACCTATGTCGTCTGGAATCGCGCCGGTCAAGTTGTTGTAACCAAGGTCGAGCATGCGAAGATACAGTAACGACCCCATTCCTACCGGAATTCGCCCATTGAATTCGTTCCTATCTAGAAAAAGCGACTGGAGCTTGGATAAACGCGATAAACTAGACGGCAATGAACCGTAAATCTCATTATTGCTCAGAATAAGTGACTCTAACGCGGGAAGATTGCCGATATCCCTGTGCAAACTACCCTGGATCTGACACCCGGATAAATCGATCCTCCTGACTCGACCAGTGCCGGGATCACACGTGACGCCTTTCCACTCGCGGCAAGAGCGGGTTACGCGCCACGTGTCGGAGCCCTGGAAGTCGCCCCAGGTCGCCTTGAGCGCGATCAGCGCCGCGACGTCGTCGGGATGCGGCGGCGGAAACTCGTCGGAAATCGCCGCTACGACGCTAAAACGAAAAAGGAGAATAGCGAAGAGAAGAACGAGAGCTGGATAAGAAGGATGGAGGGAAGAGGACCGTTGGGGGAGAAGCGACTGGCGGGTGCTAGTAAACGATCGGAGGCTACTCGTGTGGAAATATGTTCGGACGCTGCGCGTCGGATGCTGCTGACCGTGTGAGGAGGCGGTGGATGTGGCGGACACAAGCTGTGGCACGCGAAGCAGAGGCGACGACGACGATGGTCCCATCGCGAAAACCACGAGGAGGGGTTCCGTCCTTAGTAGTCGAGAGTGACGAGAGTGGCACGAGTGACGAGAGTGGCGCGAGTGACGAGAGTGGCGCGAGTGACGAGAGTGGCGCGAGTGGCGAAAGTGGCGCGAGTGGCGAGAGTGGCGCGAGTGGCGAGAGTGGCGCGAGTGACGCGCTCAGCCCGGAAACAGCGAGGTCTTGCAGATCTAACACCGTTCCCAGCTCCCCAGGGCTATTCTAATCGCTACTTCCATGAAGCGCCATTTATGTTAAGCTCAATCTAGGTTAACCGCTGCCTGTCTTATGCGCCAGCCATATGACTATAAAGGGGAGGCGTTGCGCTAGGAGGCGTCGAGTTAGAGGCTTTAGGAGAAAAGACACGGAAAGGAGGCGGAGAACAGGCGCGGCGACGACGTCCCTATCACGGAAGAGAGACGGATTGATTCTACCCTTGTTAAAACTGATTCTACCCTCGCTGAAACGTTGAAGACGGCGTGGTCATGTTCAAAACTATGCCAGTCGTACGGCGGTTTGACGTTACGCGATAGTAAGCGCTCCTATTCTCTGTGCTCTTTGGCGGTTGTTTCGTAGCGACAACCTGAGATGAGGGATCAACGAGTCAACTTCGAAGGTAAGATTGAAAATAGCCGAGACTGAAAGCCGTAGCCAATCCATAACCCAATGGCTAGTGCTTGGAGTGTTGCTGAGCTGAACGGACTAGAAGAAAGTCCATGTAACGATAAGGATGAGTGAAAGCTGGGCCAGGTGTGCATTTCCCTGCTTGAAGTGACGAGGAGAGGGTGGGGGGGAAATCCCTGGCTTCCGTGCTTTGTTGTGAATTGCGATGAATCGTGGATCGTGAATCGTGAGCCGTGAATTGTGAAACAGGATTTGAGATGGACGGCGGATGGTGATGGAGGGAAGACCTGCAATTTCTGGGCGAGGCGCGGTGGAATTTGAAACTGGGCAGCGCGCCCTGATGCTTTTCCCTGACGGCTGCGACGCGGGATTTGTTCGATGTGGGGTGTTTCGTTGCAAACCACCATGCGGGCGACCGGCAGGCTATGAAAACATATGCGTAAAAATGAATGTAAGCGTTGAGGAACTAGTGAATAATGTCTAATTCAGTATATGGCCAACAACAACAAAATAAGACAACGACTCTCGTTACAGTGCACGAACGTCCAAGTGCAGCTTGACCTCTCGAACCAACCACCCAACCGCCGCAACCCCCACGCACCCGCCACGCGCTTTTCCTTCCCGCGCTAAACTCCGCCCAACCTTCCCCTTCTTCCTGGAACAGTTTCCCGTTGACAAATGGACAGCACGCCCTACGCGCCGCCTCGTGCCCAGCAAACACCACCCAATCTCCGCCAAGCCCCTCAACTCCCCGAGCCCTATTCCTCCCTCACTTTCCCCTTTTCCGCCATCGCTCAGACTCATTTTTTCCCTGCCCCGCCGAACTCCCCTCCCCTTTCCTGGCTCCCCAGAGGACCCCTTCCCCTCCTCCCCCCCTCCCCCTCCTCCCCCTCCTCCCACTCCGTCCCCTCCTTCCCCTCTTCCCCCCTTCTCCTCCCCCAATCTTTCCATCCTTCCCCCGCATTCCCCTCCTATCCGTCCTTCCCACCCACCCCAGGCTGCTTCTGGAGAGGCTTTCACTCAGACAACCCTCCACTGGTGACAAGCCTTTCCCATGCTGTTACAGTACGAGTTTCCTTCGCTTCCACTAGGTTTGCTATTAGGTTATCTTCCCCTCTCCTGTTTTCACTGTCGGCCATCGGCAGTATTTTATTGGGTGTGTTCCTTATCTGCTGACGTTTCGCGCTTCCGGATACTTCTTACCAACGTAGGGTCGCCTCCATGGATTTCACGCTCGTTAATTGCAACTACCTGCGTCCCTACGATTCGTGATCTAGACCTAGCTTTAGGGTGGATCGTTGGCTCTACCTTCAACCATTTAGCGGTAGTTTCTCTGTGTTTGACTATAGCTTAATAGGGGTATTTACCCCTATTTAGGATTGCGTGAAGCTGGGTGAACCAATGGCTGTCGTGTCGGACGAGCCGATAGAGGTGAAGTTTCGGTTAGCGGACGGATCTGACATCGGTCCGAACAAGTTCGAACAGGAAGCGACGGTTCTCTCGCTGAAGGAAAAAATACTTGCTCAGTGGCCTGGAGGTATGATTATTTTACAAGACATTTTTTACTAAGCGTGATTCAGTTGCTGCCACGTAAAGACCATGGCACCCCAGTGGTGGTCACTCGGAAAGACTTGCTCAGTGGCCTGGAGGTATGATATAATTTCTTTGTCGATTGTTCTTTATTGATATTCGGATGCATGATCTATCTCTACGCGTTTTGCGGGGTTTTCTTCCCGTTCTACGAAACGTTCCCTAAATCCACGACCTGCTCTTGTCGTTCCCATGCTGACGTAGCTGTCTATGCGTGCTTGCTCAGTCCCTTACGCTTCGTTCGACATAACTTACTTCCTCTCCTGTGTCCTCGTCACCCGCCTTTTCCTTTCTACTGAGCTTCCTTTATTCACGAAATTATGTTCTTCACATGCTGTTGCAGCCATCTTACGTCGCGGTTGAACTTTCTCCTGTCACTGTAATCCCACAGTCTTCGCACAGCTTCAATACACATGATCCCGTTTCGCAAACGCACTCTGATGGTTCGCTTTCCTTCTATGAAGGTCTTGTCTCTAGATTCCGAAGCTCCAGTTAACTGGTTGAACTGACTTTTTTGCTTCGCAGAGGGGGGACCCAAGTCGGTGAACGAGATCACGCTCATTAACGCCGGGAGATTGCTGGAGAATACCAAGACGCTGTCGGAGTCCCGTGTTCCCGTGAGCGAGATCGTAGGCACTCCCATCACAATGCACGTCGTCGTTCACCCGGCTCAAGCAGACAAAACCGCAGGTATTGGTTCTCTCTCTCCCCCCCCTCCCCCCCCCCCCTCAAACACACATACACTACTTACTCCCTCACCCACTCACTCGCTCCCTTTCTCTCCCCCCCCTTCCCCATTCCCCCGTCTCACGCTCCACGCCCGTTCCCTGCTTGTCTCGGAAACTCTCGTCTTTGCTCCTTCCGCCCCTCTTTCTCGCCGTCTCGCTGCATGCCCCGCTTTGCCTGCCTGCCTGCCTGCACCCCGTCCTGTATGATTTCTGTTACTCTTCCATTCATTTGTCCTTCCGTTCATTCCTCTGTCCGTCCGTCTTATTGTCCTCTCCACGCCTCTCCTCCCCGCATCCCCCTCTCTCTCCCTCCTTTCTCTCGTTCGCACTCACTCAACACTGTCTCTCGCCGCTGGCTCATCACTCCCCTTTTACCCCCTCCTGTGCGTGTGTGTGTGTGTGAGTGTGTGTGTCTGTGTGTGTGTCCCATCCTGTGTGTTCAATCACATCATCCTGGGTCCATCCTGTTGCTGCAGCAACACAACAACCAGCTGATGCAGCATCTGGCAGATGCGGCTGCACCATTCTGTAACCCCCCTTGTGAAAACAAGCCTTATTATTGGCCGGCTTTGTCCGAATAGCCCATCAAGTCGTCACCCCTCAGCTGAGGGGTCCTCTGTAGGTGCCTGAATCTGCTTTTTCCTAGATTTCATGTATGTGAGGAACTATTTTCCTCTACGATTAGTTTATGTCTGTTAATGCGTTATCTCAGCCAGCACAAAAGCTTCCAGGATATTTGAAGGAATAATTGCTTATGAAAGAAACTACCCACAGCCTCCTGCATTTCCGCTATGGGACCTGTAGCACCAACTTGTTCAGTCCCCACTCCAGCAAGTGAGCAGATCGGAGGCAACTCGGGGGTTGTTCTACTCACCATCGTGCTGAGCCTTCAAAACCAGGGTTAGCCAACTGCCACCTTGAGGCTTCTTGCCCAACAAATCATGCCATTATTGAAGCTGAAACGGACCATTTCAGAAATTGGCCTTGACAGGCTAGACGGGGTAACGGAAGCCAGGAGACACCAGCTGAAACGACGTAGGAAAAACAGCGCGGATCAAAGTCATTAGCTGCAATATATCAGAAGAGTACATTCTCTGCAATAATGCTAACACTAACAAACAGTTAAGCAGGTCCAGTCCAGAGCAAATCACACGGGAGTCTATACAAAATATTAGTGATTCTAACCGCCAAAACCGTAAAGCGTACGGCCTTGGCGTTTCAAAGCGTAGACGACATCCATGGCGGTAACGGTCTTCCGGCGAGCGTGCTCTGTGTACGTCACGGCGTCTCTGATGACATTCTCAAGAAAGACCTTAAGCACGCCTCGAGTCTCTTCATAAATCAGGCCGCTGATACGCTTCACACCACCACGCCTTGCGAGACGGCGGATGGCAGGCTTGGTGATGCCCTGGATGTTATCGCGAAGCACCTTCCTGTGACGCTTGGCTCCGCCCTTTCCGAGACCCTTGCCACCCTTTCCACGGCCCGACATGGCGTAGCGAGGGGAACTATAAACTGGAGAGTTCTAAAGACGGTAGTAGGGAATGGCTTGCTGTTGGCGATATTGGTGCTGCGGAAGGAATCAAACTTGATGAAATGAAGGCTGCAATTAGATGATGGATGACAGGAGCTCGACTGATATACAAGCTAGAAGCTGGTGGGGTAATGGCTCCTGTCCCGGCGGTGAGGTGGTAAGGAAGGGAGGGAGAGGGAGGTGGAGGGGAAGACGGGGCTGCCTTGCTTCGGTTCACAAAAGCTCCGACGCAAGCTATGGGAGGAGGTTCGGTAATGGAGAGCTTGGCTCGGCAGGCACGAAGTTGTGGCCTGGGGTCACTGTGGTTTGTGCTGGTGAAATCGGAGTTTCAGCTAATCGTGGCCGTTGGTAAAGCTGTGTGTTACCGACGGTAGATCGGGACCTGAAGTTTCAAGTCCATTCGTCAAGCGACGTCGATAATGCGCGAGATCTACGGTTCGACGCAGACATCGTCAATCCGGACGCTGAATGCTCATTCGTCCCTTTCACAAGCTAGAAACCACAAGCTCAGCACAACCAAAAGTCTTATTGGAAAATGATCTTATTAAGGGAAGAAAATGTTTCTTTCGGGGGAAAGCCCAATCATAGTAGTGTAAAAACTCTTCCATTCATGTATATCAAGTACACTTTTTTTTCGCAATGTTCAAAATGATGAAAAATGGCGTGCAAATACGGTGTTTTTTTTATCAATGTTTAAAATGATTGCATCAACCTTCTAGCATAAAACATAATTACTCCAGACAACCGTATATGCCCTGTTGGAGTGTAATACCATCCATACTAGTTGCACTAGTCTTCTTGCACGTAACGGTTCTTCCTCTGTCCAAAGAGAGCGCGCTGAAAGGCACCAGATAGAAAGAAAATGACAGCTCCGGGCAATCAGGTTTGTGAGATCAAGAAATAGACAGGGATAGACACGGGGAAAGAGAACGACAGAGAGCGCTCTAAAAAACATGTCAAGAGGTATGATGGGGGAGAGAATGCGTACCGTGCCGAACACTTTTGCAGATTCTCTACATACACACCCCCGTTGCGTGTACCAACACTTATTTGCAAAGCTGATCCATAATCTAATGACATACGAATATTACCGTATATGACATATTATTACATGATCTAATGTATGTGTGTGATGTTGCATACCTGGAATATTTGTGAGAAGGCCTTAGGCTTGGTGAGGAATCTGATGTAGGTTGAGGTGTTGGCGCCGCTGGCAGGCACTTCACGCACTCGAGGAACGAGGAACTGAGCGACCTGTGGGGGGAAAGGGCAACTTGATGTAGGTTAAGATGCCACGAAGGCCAAATGCCAGAAACTTGATGCAGGTTGAGATGTGGCGCCACGGCAGGCACTTCACGCACTCGAGGAACGAGGAATTGAGCCACCTGTGGGAAGGGGAAGTGAGGTAGGGATAAGGGAAAGGGAGGGAGAGGGAGCAAGAAATTGAACGACCAGAGCGTTGATCGAGAACTGAACTTATCCTGGGCCAAGCAAGGTTTCGGGTTTCATTAACCATACACATTTTGAATGGGGGACAATCAGTCATGGCCCATGAACGTACCTCCTCTGCCGGCTCTGCCAGAGCATTGATAGAGAACTTGGCCTGCAGGGGGCGTCTGATCAGCCACAGGCACGGCCTTTGAATGAGGCTCCACCAGCCATCACTCCATCACCCCCCCCAGTGCACTGAACAACCAGCCACGTACCTCCTCTACCGGCTCTGCCAGGGCGTTGACGAAGAACTTGGCCTGCAGGGCGGGGCTGATCAACCACAGGCACGGCCTTTGAATGAGGCTCCACCAGCCATCACTCCATCACCCCCCCAGTGCACTGAACAACCAGCCACGTACCTCCTCTGCTGGCTCTGCCAGGGCGTTGATGAAGAAATTGACCTGGAAAGGGGGTCTAATCAACCACAGGCTTTGAATGGGGGATCACGCGTCAGGCTTTGAGGCAACTCAAAAGTCACCTTGAGGCGCCTCGAAAATAGACTCCTCACCTTTGAATGGGGTACCCCCAATCACGGGCCAACCGACCAGTGCACTGACCAACCAGCCACGTACCTCCTCTGCGGGTTCTGCCAGGGCGTTGATGAAGAACTTGGCCTGCAGGAAGAGGGATTCACATTGAAAAGAGAGGAGGAAAAGAGAGTAAGCATGATTGTGGGGTTATGCTCGTGCCTTAATTAATTGCCTACAGAATTACACCCACCTGGAGGCTGGTGTGAGAACCCTAGTGTCACCATGCCAGTACCATGCCAGTACCATGCCAGTACCATGCCAGTACCATGCCAGTACCATGCCAGTACCATGCCAGTACCGCCCATTACCCCGTTCTACCACCTCCATCTCACCTGGGGAGTGTTGGCGCCTGCCATCAGCAGGTCTGTGGTCACCATGCCCGGCTGATGGTGGGGTAGGACAGGAAGGGGGTAAGTAAGGGAGGGTGGAACTGAAGCAGAGAGGCAGGGACTTTTGAGTCGTCTCAAAAGCAGAGGGGGAGGGAGGGAGAAAAAGGTGGGATTCTAAGGGGCAGAGCTTGCAATGGTGTGAGGAGATCGAAAAGAAAAGAGAAGAGAAGAAAAAGTTTGCGCATTACAACTCCAAAGGAACCGACTGGATTGAAAGGAAAGCAACGCTCACTGAGAGGCTGTGCACGACGACGTAGGGGACTTTGAGCATCCTGAGCCCTGCCTGCAGCGAGCACAAGGCTAGCCACTGTTGCAAGCATTTGAGTCGACTCTTACGCATGTGTCAGCAGCTGGGCCTCACTGAGAGATTGTGCACGACGACGTTGGGCACTTTGAGCATCTTCAATTCAGCCTGCAGCGACTTGGTGAACTGCGCCAGGCTGCGCTTGGTGGCACCGTATGCCGCAAAGCTGAGAGGGAGGAGAGGGGGGAGGGAGGGAGGAGAGGTGGAGGACAGGGGGCAATGGAATCGACACACTGTCTGCAGCTCAGCCTGCAGCGACTTGGTGAACTGCGACAGGCTGCGCTTGGTGGCACCGTATGCCGCAAAGCTGAGAAGGGGTAAGAGGGGAGAGAGGGAGAGGACAGGGGGAACCGTAGCATCGTCAGCTCTGCCAGTAGACGACTCGGTGAACTGTTTTTGAGGCGCCTCAAAAATAGACTCTGCCAGTAGACGACTTGGTGAACTGTTTTTGAGGCGCCTCAAAAATAGACTCTGCCAGTAGATGACTTGGTGAACTGTTTTTGAGGCGCCTCAAAAATAGGCTCTGCCAGTAGACGACTTGGTGAACTGCGCCATGCTGCGCTTGGTGGCACCGTATGCCGCGAAGCTGGTGACAGATGAGGAGTGAAGAGGAAGGAGGAGAGGGGGAGGGACAGGGGGCAATAGCATCCGCACAGCATCTTGAGCTCTGCCTGCAGCGACTTGGTGAACTGCGCTATGCTGCGCTTGGTGGCACCGCATGCCGCAAAGCTGAGAGGGGCGGGAGGGGGGGGGGGAGAGGGGGTGTATGGTGGTGCATGGTGTATGCTGCATGATGTATGGAGCATGGTGTATGGCATATGGTGCCACAAACACACAGAGAACAATGTACCGTGGAGTGGCGTCGCCACCAGCCCCAGCCCCATCCATGTTGAAGATGTGGTCCCCTCCGGGTTGGTCCATCAGATGGCACATTGTAAACGACACATGGCACAAGTTTTGAGCCGCCTCAAAACTAGAAGTAAACGACACATGGCACAAGTTTTGAGGCGCCTCAAAACTAGAAGTAAACGACACATGGCACAAGTTTTGAGGCGCCTCAAAACTAGAAGTAAACGACACATGGCACAAGTTTTGAGGCGCCTCAAAACTAAAAGTAAACGACACATGGCACAAGACACACAGTAACTCACCGAGGGGTTGCATTGCCGTCAGCGCCAGCCTGTGGGGCATGAGGCGCATGGCCTGTGGCATATGAGGCGCATGGCCTGTGGCACATGAGGCGCATGGGCTGTGGGGCATGACCTGTGGGCGATGGTGCATAGCACACAGCAATACCGACTCACCGAGGGGTGGCATTCCCATCAGCACCAGCACCGTCCATGCTGAAGATATGTCCCCCTCCGGGCTGATCCCTCATTAGGCGCATGGCCATACAGTCGACCTCCCATGGCGCTTACCATAGAGCAGAGAACAGCTTACCGGGGAGTGGCATTGCCGTCAGCGCCAGCACCGTCCATGTTGAAGATATGCCCCCCTCCAGGTTGGTCCCTCATGAGGCGCATGGCCTGGCGGCAGCACAGCATCACACCAAGGACGTTGGTGCGCACAATCTCCCTGTTTCAGAGGGTCGTATTGGGATGGGAAGGACAACACATGTTGAAAATACGCCCCCCCTCCTCCGGGTTGGTCCCTCATGAGGCGCATGGCCTGGCGGCAGCACAGCATCACGCCCAGCACATTCGTTCACAGTATCTCCCTGGTAGTGGGGAGGTGGAAGACAAGGGGGTTGAACCCAGGCAGTGAAAACAGGTACCCGGGTTGATCCCTCATGAGGCGCATGGCCTGCCTGACAGCAGCACAGCATGACTCGCAGCACAGCATGACTCGCAGCACAGCATGACTCGCAGCACGGCATGACTCGCAGCACAGCATGACTCGCAGCACAGCATGACTCGCAGCACATTTGTTCACCCGACTCCTTATGGGAATTGGGACAAACATGGAGTACGAGTTGACATACCCAATCCCCTCCCTCCCTCACTCACTCGATGGCTTGATCTCCTGTGTCCACCAGAGGAGTGTACTGTACTCTCATAAGCAATAAGGCAAGCGCGGTCCTGCCATCTTTGAGACGCCTCAAAAATAGACTCCTCAAGCGCTGCTCTACTATCCCCTACTCCTCCCTGCTCTCACTCACTCCCTTACCTCCCTCACCCACTCCATGGCTTCGTCGTCCGACTCCACCAGGGGGGCGTACTCATACGCATTGGAGCCCGTTGAACTCTCCCTTATGCTTCTCACTTCTCCCTCACTCACCCTCCTCCCTCCCCCACTCACTCAATGGCTTCATCGCCCGACTCCACCAGGGGGGTGTACTCATACGCATTAGAGCCCGCATTGTTGATCTGCCATGCCATGCCATGCCATGCCATGCCATGCCATGTCATGTCATGCCACACATGCAAGCGTGCAGAGAAAGAAAGGCCCGCATGGTATGCGCATGGCGCACATACAGACTATTGGGTCACAAAGAGACAGCAGCCATTGACTCTGATGGGAAATGTTGCACACACGTCCAAGTCAGCTCAACTCAAGTCAACTCAAGTCAAGTAAAGTCAACGCAGCCCAAGCCTGTTTAACACGACCCGACTCACCCACACGACCACAGAGTTGAGCGAATACAACCCAATCCTTTCGGCCGGCCAAGTCAAGTCAACCCAAGTCAACCCAAGTCAACTCACCCACACGTCCACAGAGCCGAGGGATTTGACAGCGAACTCAGCCAGGGCCTTCACGTCTTCCCCTCTAGACACATCACATGCTGTGCCCTGGGGGGGAGGGGGGGGGGAGGTGGGGGGTACATGGGAGTGGGGGGGAGAGCAGGTAGGTAGAGAGCACAGTCAGTGATTTGACAGCGCACTCAGCCAGGGCCTTCACGCCGTCCCATCTAGACACGTCGTATGCTGTGCCCTGGGGCGGACGGGGGAAGCAGATTGTCCAGCAATACAGTGGGGGCGAGCCATTCATTTGACAGCAGAGCGAGCCAGTTCCATGCACCCACCACATGCACCCACCCACCACATGCACCCACCACATGCACATGGATCCTGCTGACTCACATGAGTTGAATTGGTTTTTGAGATTTTTCTTTTTGAGAATTCTCAAAAACCAATCCTGCTGACTCACCACTACTTTCTCTTTGCCGAACTCCTTCTGCAGACCAGCAACCACGTCATCCACTCTCTCTCCTGCATTCAAACCAAATACACACGGCATGGCGTCGAGAGTGACATAGAAAGGAAACCCGGGAGCACAAGGGAGAGGGAGCAGAGTGGCTATCAACTCTCAACCTCGTCATCCACTCTCTCTCCTGCATTCAAACCAAATACATATGGCATGGGGTCAAGAGAAGGGGATGCATAGGTGCAAGGCAGCTCACGGAGCAAGGAAAGCGGCAACGAGAAAAGGGTGAGACGAAGGGGGCGCCAAGAAAAAACGCCCCAACCACGCACCAATCACGCACCAACCAACCACGCACCAATCACGCACCAACCAACCACGCACTAACCATGCACCAATCACGCACCAACCAACCACGCACTAACCACGCAACCCCACCCACCCACCATTCAACCCACTCACCCGATCGCGAGCACACCACTACTCGGTCTCCTGCCTTCAAGAACTCACGCGCCAACGCCAGGCCGATGCCTGTGAGGGGGGGTGGAGAGTGGGGAGTGGAGAATGGAGGGGAGAGTAAGCCAGGGGGAGAGGTAGAGGGACGATGGTAAGACGCCAAGGACACACCCCCGCTCTGTCTGCTGCCTTCAAGAACTCTCGCACCAACGCCAGGCCGATGCCTGTGAAGGGGGGTGGAGAGTGGAGAGTGGAGAGTGGAGGGGAGAGTAAGCCAGGGGAAGAGGTAGAGGGACGAAGGTAAGAGGCCAAGGACACACCCCCGCTCTGTCTCCTGCCTTCAAGAACTCTCGTGCCAACGCCAGGCCGGTTTTAAGACGTCTCAAAACGTCTCAAAACCAACCTTATATCACGTGGCTTCAGTTTTCCTGCTCGGTCTGCTGCCTTCAAGAACTCTCGCGCCAACGCCAGGCCGATGCCTGAAAGGGGGGGGGAAGAGGGGAGGAAGAGGACGGGGGAGTAAAGGACGGGGATAGGATGGGGATCTTGAGCACACTGCCGCTCGGTCTCCTGCCTTCAAGAACTCTCGCGCCAACGCCAGGCCGATGCCTGAAAGGGGGGGGGAAGAGGGGAGGAAGAGGACGGGGGAGTAAAGGACGGGGATAGGATGGGGATCTTGATTCTTGAGCACACCACCGCTCTGTCTCCTGCCTTCAAGCACTCTCGCGCCAACGCCAGGCCGATGCCTGAAAGGGGGGGGGAAGAGGGGAGGAAGAGGACGGGGGAGTAAAGGACGGGGATAGGATGGGGATCTTGAGCACACTGCCGCTCGGTCTCCTGCCTTCAAGAACTCTCGCGCCAACGCCAGGCCGATGCCTGAAAGGGGGGGGGAAGAGGGGAGGAAGAGGACGGGGGAGTAAAGGACGGGGATAGGATGGGGATCTTGATTCTTGAGCACACCACCGCTCTGTCTCCTGCCTTCAAGCACTCTCGCGCCAACGCCAGGCCGATGCCTGAAAGGGGGGGGGAAGAGGGGAGGAAGAGGACGGGGGAGTAAAGGACGGGGATAGGATGGGGATCTTGATTCTTGAGCACACCACCGCTCTGTCTCCTGCCTTCAAGCACTCTCGCGCCAACGCCAGGCCGATGCCTGAAAGGGGGGGGGAAGAGGGGAGGAAGAGGACGGGGGAGTAAAGGACGGGGATAGGATGGGGATCTTGAGCACACTGCCGCTCGGTCTCCTGCCTTCAAGAACTCTCGCGCCAACGCCAGGCCGATGCCTGAAAGGGGGGGGGAAGAGGGGAGGAAGAGGACGGGGGAGTAAAGGACGGGGATAGGATGGGGATCTTGATTCTTGAGCACACCACCGCTCTGTCTCCTGCCTTCAAGCACTCTCGCGCCAACGCCAGGCCGATGCCTGAAAGGGGGGGGAAGAGGGGAGGAAGAGGACGGGGGAGTAAAGGACGGGGATAGGATGGGGATCTTGAGCACACTGCCGCTCGGTCTCCTGCCTTCAAGCACTCTCGCGCCAACGCCAGGCCGATGCCTGAAAGGGGGGGGGAAGAGGGGAGGAAGAGGACGGGGGAGTAAAGGACGGGGATAGGATGGGGATCTTGAGCACACTGCCGCTCGGTCTCCTGCCTTCAAGAACTCTCGCGCCAACGCCAGGCCGATGCCTGAAAGGGGGGGGGAAGAGGGGAGGAAGAGGACGGGGGAGTAAAGGACGGGGATAGGATGGGGATCTTGATTCTTGAGCACACCACCGCTCTGTCTCCTGCCTTCAAGCACTCTCGCGCCAACGCCAGGCCGATGCCTGAAAGGGGGGGGGAAGAGGGGAGGAAGAGGACGGGGGAGTAAAGGACGGGGATAGGATGGGGATCTTGAGCACACTGCCGCTCGGTCTCCTGCCTTCAAGAACTCTCGCGCCAACGCCAGGCCGATGCCTGAAAGGGGGGGGGAAGAGGGGAGGAAGAGGACGGGGGAGTAAAGGACGGGGATAGGATGGGGATCTTGATTCTTGAGCACACCACCGCTCTGTCTCCTGCCTTCAAGCACTCTCGCGCCAACGCCAGGCCGATGCCTGAAAGGGGGGGGGAAGAGGGGAGGAAGAGGACGGGGGAGTAAAGGACGGGGATAGGATGGGGATCTTGAGCACACTGCCGCTCGGTCTCCTGCCTTCAAGAACTCTCGCGCCAACGCCAGGCCGATGCCTGAAAGGGGGGGGGAAGAGGGGAGGAAGAGGACGGGGGAGTAAAGGACGGGGATAGGATGGGGATCTTGATTCTTGAGCACACCACCGCTCTGTCTCCTGCCTTCAAGCACTCTCGCGCCAACGCCAGGCCGATGCCTGAAAGGGGGGGGGAAGAGGGGAGGAAGAGGACGGGGGAGTAAAGGACGGGGATAGGATGGGGATCTTGAGCACACTGCCGCTCGGTCTCCTGCCTTCAAGAACTCTCGCGCCAACGCCAGGCCGATGCCTGAAAGGGGGGGGGAAGAGGGGAGGAAGAGGACGGGGGAGTAAAGGACGGGGATAGGATGGGGATCTTGATTCTTGAGCACACCACCGCTCTGTCTCCTGCCTTCAAGCACTCTCGCGCCAACGCCAGGCCGATGCCTGAAAGGGGGGGGGAAGAGGGGAGGAAGAGGACGGGGGAGTAAAGGACGGGGATAGGATGGGGATCTTGATTCTTGAGCACACCACCGCTCTGTCTCCTGCCTTCAAGCACTCTCGCGCCAACGCCAGGCCGATGCCTGAAAGGGGGGGGGAAGAGGGGAGGAAGAGGACGGGGGAGTAAAGGACGGGGATAGGATGGGGATCTTGAGCACACTGCCGCTCGGTCTCCTGCCTTCAAGAACTCTCGCGCCAACGCCAGGCCGATGCCTGAAAGGGGGGGGGAAGAGGGGAGGAAGAGGACGGGGGAGTAAAGGACGGGGATAGGATGGGGATCTTGATTCTTGAGCACACCACCGCTCTGTCTCCTGCCTTCAAGCACTCTCGCGCCAACGCCAGGCCGATGCCTGAAAGGGGGGGGAAGAGGGGAGGAAGAGGACGGGGGAGTAAAGGACGGGGATAGGATGGGGATCTTGATTCTTGAGCACACCACCGCTCTGTCTCCTGCCTTCAAGCACTCTCGCGCCAACGCCAGGCCGATGCCTGAAAGGGGGGGGGAAGAGGGGAGGAAGAGGACGGGGGAGTAAAGGACGGGGATAGGATGGGGATCTTGATTCTTGAGCACACCACCGCTCTGTCTCCTGCCTTCAAGCACTCTCGCGCCAACGCCAGGCCGATGCCTGAAAGGGGGGGGGAAGAGGGGAGGAAGAGGACGGGGGAGTAAAGGACGGGGATAGGATGGGGATCTTGATTCTTGAGCACACCACCGCTCTGTCTCCTGCCTTCAAGCACTCTCGCGCCAACGCCAGGCCGATGCCTGAAAGGGGGGGGGAAGAGGGGAGGAAGAGGACGGGGGAGTAAAGGACGGGGATAGGATGGGGATCTTGATTCTTGAGCACACCACCGCTCTGTCTCCTGCCTTCAAGCACTCTCGCGCCAACGCCAGGCCGATGCCTGAAAGGGGGGGGGAAGAGGGGAGGAAGAGGACGGGGGAGTAAAGGACGGGGATAGGATGGGGATCTTGAGCACACTGCGCTCGGTCTCCTGCCTTCAAGAACTCTCGCGCCAACGCCAGGCCGATGCCTGAAAGGGGGGGGGAAGAGGGGAGGAAGAGGACGGGGGAGTAAAGGACGGGGATAGGATGGGGATCTTGATTCTTGAGCACACCACCGCTCTGTCTCCTGCCTTCAAGCACTCTCGCGCCAACGCCAGGCCGATGCCTGAAAGGGGGGGGAAGAGGGGAGGAAGAGGACGGGGGAGTAAAGGACGGGGATAGGATGGGGATCTTGATTCTTGAGCACACCACCGCTCTGTCTCCTGCCTTCAAGCACTCTCGCGCCAACGCCAGGCCGATGCCTGAAAGGGGGGGGGAAGAGGGGAGGAAGAGGACGGGGGAGTAAAGGACGGGGATAGGATGGGGATCTTGAGCACACTGCCGCTCGGTCTCCTGCCTTCAAGAACTCTCGCGCCAACGCCAGGCCGATGCCTGAAAGGGGGGGGGAAGAGGGGAGGAAGAGGACGGGGGAGTAAAGGACGGGGATAGGATGGGGATCTTGATTCTTGAGCACACCACCGCTCTGTCTCCTGCCTTCAAGCACTCTCGCGCCAACGCCAGGCCGATGCCTGAAAGGGGGGGGGAAGAGGGGAGGAAGAGGACGGGGGAGTAAAGGACGGGGATAGGATGGGGATCTTGATTCTTGAGCACACCACCGCTCTGTCTCCTGCCTTCAAGCACTCTCGCGCCAACGCCAGGCCGATGCCTGAAAGGGGGGGGGAAGAGGGGAGGAAGAGGACGGGGGAGTAAAGGACGGGGATAGGATGGGGATCTTGATTCTTGAGCACACCACCGCTCTGTCTCCTGCCTTCAAGCACTCTCGCGCCAACGCCAGGCCGATGCCTGAAAGGGGGGGGGAAGAGGGGAGGAAGAGGACGGGGAGTAAAGGACGGGGATAGGATGGGGATCTTGAGCACACTGCCGCTCGGTCTCCTGCCTTCAAGAACTCTCGCGCCAACGCCAGGCCGATGCCTGAAAGGGGGGGGGAAGAGGGGAGGAAGAGGACGGGGGAGTAAAGGACGGGGATAGGATGGGGATCTTGAGCACACTGCCGCTCGGTCTCCTGCCTTCAAGAACTCTCGCGCCAACGCCAGGCCGATGCCTGAAAGGGGGGGGAAGAGGGGAGGAAGAGGACGGGGGAGTAAAGGACGGGGATAGGATGGGGATCTTGATTCTTGAGCACACCACCGCTCTGTCTCCTGCCTTCAAGCACTCTCGCGCCAACGCCAGGCCGATGCCTGAAAGGGGGGGGAAGAGGGGAGGAAGAGGACGGGGGAGTAAAGGACGGGGATAGGATGGGGATCTTGATTCTTGAGCACACCACCGCTCTGTCTCCTGCCTTCAAGCACTCTCGCGCCAACGCCAGGCCGATGCCTGAAAGGGGGGGGGAAGAGGGGAGGAAGAGGACGGGGGAGTAAAGGACGGGGATAGGATGGGGATCTTGAGCACACTGCCGCTCGGTCTCCTGCCTTCAAGAACTCTCGCGCCAACGCCAGGCCGATGCCTGAAAGGGGGGGGGAAGAGGGGAGGAAGAGGACGGGGGAGTAAAGGACGGGGATAGGATGGGGATCTTGATTCTTGAGCACACCACCGCTCTGTCTCCTGCCTTCAAGCACTCTCGCGCCAACGCCAGGCCGATGCCTGAAAGGGGGGGGGAAGAGGGGAGGAAGAGGACGGGGGAGTAAAGGACGGGGATAGGATGGGGATCTTGATTCTTGAGCACACCACCGCTCTGTCTCCTGCCTTCAAGCACTCTCGCGCCAACGCCAGGCCGATGCCTGAAAGGGGGGGGGAAGAGGGGAGGAAGAGGACGGGGGAGTAAAGGACGGGGATAGGATGGGGATCTTGATTCTTGAGCACACCACCGCTCTGTCTCCTGCCTTCAAGCACTCTCGCGCCAACGCCAGGCCGATGCCTGAAAGGGGGGGGAAGAGGGGAGGAAGAGGACGGGGGAGTAAAGGACGGGGATAGGATGGGGATCTTGATTCTTGAGCACACCACCGCTCTGTCTCCTGCCTTCAAGCACTCTCGCGCCAACGCCAGGCCGATGCCTGAAAGGGGGGGGGAAGAGGGGAGGAAGAGGACGGGGGAGTAAAGGACGGGGATAGGATGGGGATCTTGATTCTTGAGCACACCACCGCTCTGTCTCCTGCCTTCAAGCACTCTCGCGCCAACGCCAGGCCGATGCCTGAAAGGGGGGGGGAAGAGGGGAGGAAGAGGACGGGGGAGTAAAGGACGGGGATAGGATGGGGATCTTGATTCTTGAGCACACCACCGCTCTGTCTCCTGCCTTCAAGCACTCTCGCGCCAACGCCAGGCCGATGCCTGAAAGGGGGGGGGAAGAGGGGAGGAAGAGGACGGGGGAGTAAAGGACGGGGATAGGATGGGGATCTTGATTCTTGAGCACACCACCGCTCTGTCTCCTGCCTTCAAGCACTCTCGCGCCAACGCCAGGCCGATGCCTGAAAGGGGGGGGAAGAGGGGAGGAAGAGGACGGGGGAGTAAAGGACGGGGATAGGATGGGGATCTTGAGCACACTGCCGCTCGGTCTCCTGCCTTCAAGAACTCTCGCGCCAACGCCAGGCCGATGCCTGAAAGGGGGGGGGAAGAGGGGAGGAAGAGGACGGGGGAGTAAAGGACGGGGATAGGATGGGGATCTTGATTCTTGAGCACACCACCGCTCTGTCTCCTGCCTTCAAGCACTCTCGCGCCAACGCCAGGCCGATGCCTGAAAGGGGGGGGAAGAGGGGAGGAAGAGGACGGGGGAGTAAAGGACGGGGATAGGATGGGGATCTTGATTCTTGAGCACACCACCGCTCTGTCTCCTGCCTTCAAGCACTCTCGCGCCAACGCCAGGCCGATGCCTGAAAGGGGGGGGGAAGAGGGGAGGAAGAGGACGGGGGAGTAAAGGACGGGGATAGGATGGGGATCTTGAGCACACTGCCGCTCGGTCTCCTGCCTTCAAGAACTCTCGCGCCAACGCCAGGCCGATGCCTGAAAGGGGGGGGGAAGAGGGGAGGAAGAGGACGGGGGAGTAAAGGACGGGGATAGGATGGGGATCTTGATTCTTGAGCACACCACCGCTCTGTCTCCTGCCTTCAAGCACTCTCGCGCCAACGCCAGGCCGATGCCTGAAAGGGGGGGGGAAGAGGGGAGGAAGAGGACGGGGGAGTAAAGGACGGGGATAGGATGGGGATCTTGATTCTTGAGCACACCACCGCTCTGTCTCCTGCCTTCAAGCACTCTCGCGCCAACGCCAGGCCGATGCCTGAAAGGGGGGGGAAGAGGGGAGGAAGAGGACGGGGGAGTAAAGGACGGGGATAGGATGGGGATCTTGATTCTTGAGCACACCACCGCTCTGTCTCCTGCCTTCAAGCACTCTCGCGCCAACGCCAGGCCGATGCCTGAAAGGGGGGGGGAAGAGGGGAGGAAGAGGACGGGGGAGTAAAGGACGGGGATAGGATGGGGATCTTGATTCTTGAGCACACCACCGCTCTGTCTCCTGCCTTCAAGCACTCTCGCGCCAACGCCAGGCCGATGCCTGAAAGGGGGGGGAAGAGGGGAGGAAGAGGACGGGGGAGTAAAGGACGGGGATAGGATGGGGATCTTGATTCTTGAGCACACCACCGCTCTGTCTCCTGCCTTCAAGCACTCTCGCGCCAACGCCAGGCCGATGCCTGAAAGGGGGGGGGAAGAGGGGAGGAAGAGGACGGGGGAGTAAAGGACGGGGATAGGATGGGGATCTTGATTCTTGAGCACACCACCGCTCTGTCTCCTGCCTTCAAGCACTCTCGCGCCAACGCCAGGCCGATGCCCGAAAGGGGGGGTGGCGTGGGGGGGGGAATGGAGGGGAGGGGGGAGTCAGTCAGCAGCAAGCACGGAAAACAGGTAGGGGGGAGGCAAATATGACGATTTTTTAGGCGCCTCAAAAATATGACGAGGAGAGCCACCAGCGCTCGGTCTCCTGCCTTCAGGACTCTCACACGCTAACCTTTACTAGTCAACCCCCTAGCAACGGCTTTGCGAAACGTCTTGACACTAACCTTTCGTTGATCCTGTTACAACGACGTTGTACGACTTATTAACTCCCGCGCCACCAGGAGTCGCAGCTGTCGCAGGCTTGTCGCTCACGGCTGAGGCGACGACGCGAACGGCCGTCGCACGGCGGTCGCACGCGCCTGCATTTGTCGCAGGCCCTACGGGAATGCGACGGGAGGAGAGCGACGAATGAAGTGGCTGCCCGCTAGCGATAAACGCTGACGAAGGACCGACGCGGTTTTGCCACGTGGCAGACGACGAGAGGGACACGGAAGCAGAGGAGATTGCGGGGATCGCAGCGAGCGAAGCGTTAATAGCGGCGGCCATAGCGGCGGAAATGGCGGTCTCACGATGAGAGAATGCTAGCATGGAGTTAGCGTACAAAGGGGAGAGCCCACCAAAAGGTGCAAGTTCGATCAGCGTGTTAGAGGGAAAATGGCTCGCGTACGCGTTATGAGTGAATTGTGCCTCCAGATGTCTTACATGATCGTGTAGTAACGGTAACCTAAGTGTAGATCTAGAACGTATGAGAAAATAAGTGAGTGGTGATGAACTTATGAAGACATTTGACGAAAGACATTACCAACTCTAGATTGGTAAGGAAGAAAGCGATTTTACTTTCAACAGCTTATTCCACATGAATAACGGAAATCATGCAAATACACCCGATATCACATCCTAAGCAAATGTAGGATCGGAATTTTGATAACTAGAAGCCGGCGCCAGAAACTTTCTCCCCCACAGTCTGTCCGTACTGCGGCCCACCGCTGCGGTAAGCGTAGAGATAGTCGATGGTGAGGCCCTTGAGGGGATGGGGGATGATGCCAAGGTCGTCAAAGGTGAGGGCTGCAAGTATGTGGGGGAAGGGGGGGGGGGGGGGGATAAGGTAAGCAAAGAGATAGTCGATGGTGAGGCCCTTGAGGGATGGGGAATGATGCCAAGGTTGTCAAAGGTGAGGGCTGCAAGGGGTGACAACGAGGGGGGTTAGCATGGTTGGGCTGGGGATGGTTGAGGATGGGCGCTATGGGTGCCCCAAGGCACCACAGGGCCTATAATAAGGTGCTTTGAATGCACGCAGGGCATACTGTTGGGCGACACGATGTGTGGGTAGGTGAGGGAGTTGATGTAGTCGAGGGTGAACATGGTGGGGCTGGGGATGGGCGCTACAAGGTGCTAGGACATCAGACACAGCTGACTAGAAGGTGGTGCGTGTGAAGCAGGCAAACAGGAAGGCCTACCGTTGGGCGACACGATGTGTGGGTATGTGAGGGAGTTGATGTAGTCGAGGGTGAACATGGTGGGGCTGGGGATGGGCGTGGGCACGCGGGGCAGCAGGAACTCGCGGGGCGTGGCGAGGGCCCGCGCGACGGGAAACGGGATGCTGAGAATGGAGGAGTGCTGGCGGATGGTCTCAAGGACACGGTGCACCTGTTTGGGGAAGGAAAGATGTACGAAAAGGAGGAGAAGGAGAGGTCAGTGGGTTCAGGAGTGCTGGCCCGGAAGACGGGCACCGGGATGCTGAGAATGGAGGAGTGCTGGCGGATGGAGGAGGAGCACACGGTGCACTTGCAGAGACGCAAGAGGTGAGAGAATGACACGAGGAGAAAGGGGGATGAGAAGGAGAGATGAGAAAGACGAGGAGTGCTGAGAATAGTTTTCTTTCTTTCTTTGTTTCTTTTTCTTTTTTGGGCTTTAAGTGATCCCAGGAGGAAATCCGGCCCCCTTTCCCATGCCGGCCAGCTGCAGGACCAGTCGATCAACATTCCTCGCGACGGTGCCGAATTGAGTTGGCAGCTCACGTGGGTTGGTCATACTGACTGAGAATGGTGGAGTGCTGGCGGATGGTCTCCAGGACACGGTGGACCGCGGCTGCTGCCATCGTCAGAAGTGCGCTGCGAAGACTCAGTGCTTCAGCCACACCCACTAGGCACTGAATGCACACCCCTCCTTACCAGGGGTTGAAAACACACTCACCACGTCAACGATGCGCAGCACCTCCGGCCCGCCCAGCTCGTATGTTTGCCCACAGCTGGTGCCATCGTCTGTTGTCAGTGCCGTGTCGACTAGGTACTAAACCCAGGTCACACCCAAACTCACCAGGTCCACAATGGGCAGCACCTCCGGGCCGCCCAGCTCGTATGTTTGCCCGCAGCTGCTGCCATCATCAGTAACCGTTGCGTTGACTGCCGTTGCCACGTCTAACACATGCACCGGCTGAATGCTGGTGGGGGAATAGGGGGAGATGGGGGGGGGGGGGGGGAATAGACGAGAAAAGATGCAAGGAGACAGGCAGAGCAGAGCTGGGGGTAAAGTGGATAGGAGGGATATGTGGGGGGATGCATAGGGGGGGATGCATAGGGGGGATGCATAGGGGGGATGCATAGGGGGGATGCGTAGGGGGGATGCATAGGGGGGATGCATAGGGGGGATGCATAGGGGGGGATGCATAGGGGGATGCATAGGGGGGATGCATAGGGGGGATGCATAGGGGGGGATGCATAGGGGGGATGCATAGGGGGGATGCATAGGGGGGATGCATAGGGGGGGATGCATAGGGGGGGATGGATAGAGGGGGATGCATAGGGGGGGATGCATAGGGGGGGATGCATAGGGGGGGATGCATAGGGGGGGATGCATAGGGGGGATGCATAGGGGGGGATGCATAGGGGGGATGCATAGGGGGGGATGCATAGGGGGGATGCATAGGGGGGATGCATAGGGGGGATGCATGGGGGGGGATGAATGGGGGGGAATGCACGGGGGGGGATACATCAGGGGGGGATGCATGGGGGGGACACTTGGGGGGGGGGATGCATGGGGGGGATGCATGGGGGGGGGATGCATGGGGGGGGGATGCATGGGGGGGGGATGCATAGGGGGGGATGCATCGGGGGGGATGCATCGGGGGGATGCACAGGTTGGGATGCATGGGGGGGGGATGCATGGGGGGGGAATGCACGGGGGGGGATACTCAGGGGGGGATGCATGGGGGGGACACTTGGGGGGGGGGATGCATGGGGGGGGATGTACCGGGATGGGGGGGATGCATGGGTGGGGACGCATGGGTGGGGGATGTATGCAGGGCATGCATCGGGGGGGATGCATAGGTTAGAGTCTTCCCCCTCCAATAACAGGTAAAAACCACCCTAAACCCTCGAGAAACCACGTACAGAGTCTTGCCTCCAGCTATAACGGGTACAAACGGAAACTTCTTTGCCATGATCGCCCAGCTGTTGAGCAGCCGGTCCTCCGTACCAGCCAGAGGGCCCGCCCTCAGGATGGTGGCCTGGCAGGTGGAAGGGGGAGCAGAGAGAAGCACATGGAATAGCAGGGAGCAGAGACACGAGGAGAAGAGAGCCTCTTTGCTATGATCGCCCAGCTGTTGCGCAGCCGGTCCTCCGTGCCAGCCAGAGGGCCCGCCCTCAGGATGGTGGCCTGGCAGGTGGAAGGGGGAGCAGAGAGAAGCACATGGAATAGCAGGGAGCAAAGACACGAGGAGAAGAGAGCCCCTTTGCCATGATCGCCCAGCTGTTGCACAGCCGGTCCTCCGTGCCAGCCAGGGGGCCTGCCCGCAGGATGGTGGTCTGGTAGGAGGGGGGGATCACGGGTAAGGATAGGAAACGCCAGGGAGAAGAAAGATGGCGAAGCGAGAGCCCGGAACTTCTTTGCCGTGATCGCCTAGCTGTTGAAGCAGCTGGTCCTCGGTGCCAGCTAGAGGGCCTGCCCTCAGGATGGTGGCCTGAAAAAAGCGGAGGGGGGGATCACAGATTCACAGGTAAGGATGGGATCACCAGGGAGCAGGAAGATGATGACGCGAGAGCCTTCTTTCCCGTGATCGCCTAGCTGTTGAGCAAAGAAGCAAAGGGCCTGCCCTAATCGCCCGTGTACGTTCCGAGATAGAGGGTGCCTGCCCGCAGGATGGTGGCCTGATTGATAGGAGAGAGGAGAGAGGAGAGAGGAGAAGGTTGGCAGGGAGAAGGGAAGAGGAGAGTGAGGAAGACCCTGAGCCCTGAGCCCTGAGCCCTGAACCCTGAGCCCTGAGCCCTGAACCCTGAGCCCTGAGCCCTGAGCCCTGAGCCCTGAGCCCTGAGCCCTGAGCCCTGAGCCCTGAGCCCTGAGCCCTGAGCCCTGAGCCCTGAGCCCTGAGCCCTGAGCCCTGAGCCCTGAGCCCTGAGCCCTGAGCCCTGAGCCCTGAGCCCTGAGCCCTGAGCCCTGAGCCCTGAGCCCTGAGCCCTGAGCCCTGAGCCCTGAGCCCTGAGCCCTGAGCCCTGAGCCCTGAGCCCTGAGCCCTGAGCCCTGAGCCCTGAGCCCTGAGCCCTGAGCCCTGAGCCCTGAGCCCTGAGCCCTGAGCCCTGAGCCCTGAGCCCTGAGCCCTGAGCCCTGAACCCTGAGCCCTGACCCACCCTGAGCCCTGAGCCCTGAACCCTGAACCCTGAGCCCTGAGCCCTGAACCCTGAACCCTGTGCCCTGAGCCCTGAACTCTGAACCCTGAACCCTGAACCCTGAGCCCTGAGCCCTGAACCCTGAGCCCTGAACATCTTTGCTGTGATCATCCAGCTGTTTGAGCAGCTGCCAGCACCACCGCCTCGCCCAGTGCAGCACCTTGCTCTGGTGCTGCTTGGAGGGAGTAACAGTACTAGCTTGTCACCTGGGAAAACTCTGCCAGCACTGCCGCCTCGCCCAGCGCCTTGCTCCGGTGCTGCCACGAGGCTGCGTGGGGCACATCGCCCAGGCAGGAGAGGAGAAGTGATTCTCTGAAGCCTTAAACCCTTCAACTCTAGATCCCCAAACCAAATCTCACCTGCGGGAACTCTGCCAGCACTGCCGCCTCGCCCAGCACCTTACTCTGGCGCTGCTTGGAGGGCGTAGCAGTACTATTTCTGCTGCGGGCACGCCGCACACCTGGGGTGGGGCCGCCTAAACCCCAATCCCCTGAACCCCGAGATTCCAACCTTGAGACCCCAAACCTCCTCACCTGGGGGAGCTCAGCGAGCACAGCTGCCTCGCCCAGCGCCTTGCTCTGGTACTGCCTGGAGGCGGCGTGGGGAGTTGGGTCGTGATTCCCTCAAGACCCCAACGCCTTAGCCTGTAAACCCCAACCCCTTGACCTGTAAACCACCATTCCCTTCCCACCCTACCTGGGGGAACTCATCCAGCACTGCCGCCTCGCCCAGCACCTTGCTCTGGTGCTGCCTGGAGGCCGCGTGGGGCGCAACGCAGCGATGTGGCAGGACAAGACAGGCGATGTGACTCTCTGAAACCTCGAACCCTAAACCTCTAACCTTCGAACCCCTCACCTGCGGGAACTCAGCCAGCACTGCAGCTTCGCCCAGCGCCTTGCTCTGGTGCTGCCTGGAGGCCGCGTGGGGCGCAGCGCCCAGGCACGAGAGGTGCACCATCCTGGCGATGCCCCCGTGCGCTTGCGCGATCTGGGGTTGATGGGGGTTGCACACGGGGAGGAGGAAATGGGGTGGGGGGTAAGTGGAGGAATGAGAGCATCAAGAGCAGCGCCCAGGCACGAGAGGTGCACCATCCTGGCGATGCCCCTGTGCTCTCGGGCGAACTGCAGGGGGGGAATCAGGTGGGATAAAAGATTGAATGCAGAGCATGGGCTGAGAAAGAGATGAGCGCCCAGGCACGAGAGGTGCACCATCCTGGCGACGCCCCCCACGTGCTCTTGAGCGATCTGGCAATAGTGTGTCTGTACCGGGGAGAGGGGGTTGGAGAAAGAAGGGCGGGGTGGGGTGGCGTTGAGCTTTTACCCTTTCAAACGCTCTACAGCCCATATATGACTTCGAAAATAAGATTAAGCTCGCTCCTGCCGTGCGCTAGTCTCACCCTGGCAACGCGCTGCGGAGCACAGATGTTGATGTCCTCAAGGCTGCACTTGGATTGGCTATTACTACACCGTACAATGAGTAGCCTATTCATTCACTCCTCGGTTCAGCTCACACTGGCAATGCGTTGTGGCGCCGAGATGTTGATGTCCTCAAGGCTGCACTTGGATTGGCTATTACTACACCTTACAATGAGTAGCCTATTCCTTCACTCCTCGGTTCAGCTCACCCTGGCAATGCGTTATGGCGCCGAGATGTTGATGTCCTCGAAGCTGAAGTTTAGTCTAAAGGCGCGGCACCTTAGAAGAGTATAACATGTATGAACCGACAAACCCATACCAGAACCCACCCTGGCAATGAGCTGCGGTGCTGAGATGTTGATGTCCTCGAAGCTGAAGTTGAGTATAAGGCGCGGCACCTTAGAAGAGTATAACATGTATGAACTGACAAACCCATACCAGAACCCACCCTGGCAATGCGTTGTGGTGCTGAGATGTTGATGTCCTCAAAGCTGAAGTTGCGAGTTTCAAAGTCCCGACCTGGGAGCGGAACAACAAGGAGGAACCGGGGCACACAGGGGGGGATTGATTGGTGTTAGAGGCGATTTTCTAGGCAATTTTCGAGGTGCCTCATTGATTTGATTGTTGATGTCCTCAAAGCTGAAGTTGCGCGTCTCAAAGTCGCAACTGAGAATGGCATGAATGAATACCAAAGAGGCGGCAGACGAGGGGGTGAAAAAAGGATGAAGTTTGCACTTTGAAAGTCTCAAAAATCGATCTGATGATGGCAACCTGGGAGAAGGACGAAGAGGAATGAGACAGAAGGAGAGGATTAGGTAGGAGGAGGACTAGCAGCGGTGAGGTGAGAGCCTTTAAGAGCAGAGCAGAAGACACAACTCTGTTCTTAAAGAGGGAGGAAGGGTGCAAACAAATAGTTCGGTATTCGTTTTCGTATTCCATATTCGACAAAAATCAAATACAAAACAAATCAAATAGCCCATCATTATTCGGAAGCATTCAATTCGAGAGTATTCGTCAGTATCAAATATTCAACGAAAAAATATTCGAAAACCGTTTAAATATTCAAACATGCCTATACACGTCTGCGGAGCACTGAAAGTGCTTCAAAGATAATAAAGGAAGAATGGAAACCATAAAAAGATGAAAGATTAATCGAGTGGAATATAGGGTGGAGGCACTGGCAGCAAGAGGGGTTGGGGACCGGGGAGAGGGGGAAACCTGTTATACTGAAACCCAATAGCCACCGAGTGGTATGATGTGTGTGGAACCCGATTAAAACAGGAGAATGCCAGGATTCGAATTTAATCGGATTCGAACCTTATTCGAAGCTATTCGATTCGTATTCAGATTCGCCACAAGGCAATTATTCGTCCACATACGAATTTCGCTAAGTATTTGGAAATTATGTGAAAAGGGTATTTGTATGTTGTATTCGTATTCGTATATGTTATTGCACCCTTAGTCCGCGCTGCTCCTTCCTCCCCATTGTCCTTACCTTGTTCTTAAAGGAAGTCGATATACAGAAACAGGGATAAGTCACGATAAGTCTTTCAAGAGCCGCAACCCTTTCAGTAAAAAAACAAATATTATCTTCCTTGTCCATGCTCGCCAAACAGATTTATGCAAACATTCACCACTCACCAATGAGGTTAATGACCACGTTTGACTTGGCAATGGCGGCCGCAATGCTCTCATCACTCCTCACGTCAAAACGAATGGGCACAACCTGATAAGAATGGGAAGGGGGGAGAGGGAAGGGGGGGGGGGGGGGGGGGAAGAGATAGGGGGGACAGCAGAGAGTGGAATATAGGCATAGGGGGAGGGATGGCAACCGCAATGCTCTCATCCGCCACGCGTCGAATGGGATGGTTTTTGAGTCGACTCAAAAGCAGACTCGTCGCTCCTCGTGTCGAATGGGATGGTTTTTGAGTCGACTCAAAAGCAGACTCGTCGCTCCTCGTGTCGAATGGGATGGTTTTTGAGTCGACTCAAAAGCAGACTCGTCGCTCCTCGTGTCGAATGGGATGGTTTTTGAGTCGACTCAAAAGCAGACTCGTCGCTCCTCGTGTCGAATGGGATGGTTTTTGAGTCGACTCAAAAGCAGACTCGTCGCTCCTCGTGTCGAATGGGATGGTTTTTGAGTCGACTCAAAAGCAGACTCGTCGCTCCTCGTGTCGAATGGGATGGTTTTTGAGTCGACTCAAAAGCAGACTCGTCGCTCCTCGTGTCGAATGGGATGGTTTTTGAGTCGACTCAAAAGCAGACTCGTCGCTCCTCGTGTCGAATGGGATGGTTTTTGAGTCGACTCAAAAGCAGACTCGTCGCTCCTCGTGTCGAATGGGATGGTTTTTGAGTCGACTCAAAAGCAGACTCGTCGCTCCTCGTGTCGAATGGGATGGTTTTTGAGTCGACTCAAAAGCAGACTCGTCGCTCCTCGTGTCGGATGGGATGGTTTTTGAGTCGACTCGAAAGCAGACTCGTCGCTCCTCGTGTCGAATGGGATGGTTTTTGAGTCGACTCGAAAGCAGACTCGTCGCTCCTCGTGTCGAATGGGATGGTTTTTGAGTCGACTCAAAAGCAGACTCGTCGCTCCTCGTGTCGGATGGGATGGTTTTTGAGTCGACTCAAAAGCAGACTCGTCGCTCCTCGTGTCGAATGGGATGGTTTTTGAGTCGACTCGAAAGCAGACTCGTCGCTCCTCGTGTCGAATGGGATGGTTTTTGAGTCGACTCAAAAGCAGATTCGTCGCTCCTCGTGTCGAATGGGATGGGCACGACCAGATCAGATTGCAGAGTTGGGGCAAACAGGAGGTTGAGGGGGGGAGAGGTGGGGTTGAGGCGGGAAAGGGGGACATGGGGGAGGGTGGGGTAGTGATTGGAAGTTGGAACCGCAATGCGCTCATCACACCAAAGTCACCTGCCCCCACATCTCACCTGCCCCCACATCTCACCTGCCCGATCCTTGGGCATCTTCCAGTGAGCGCGGCGTCAGGAAACGGGTTAGTAAGTAGGAAAAACAGTAAAAAAGGTGCTTATGTAAACGTGAGTTCGGAGTAGTCGGAGCTCTTCCCTTAACAACCAATTAAACAGGTGACAAACATGTTTCGGCCGCAGGGCATACCCTAGCGAGCCTTCATCAGTGTCAATGAGAAAGTATGAGCAAAGCAAAGCTTCTAAGTAGAAACTAAGCATCCAACCGAACCAAACTCAATGTAATCTTCACCCGGTTCAACCAAAAGTATCGGGGACCAATCAAGGCCAACCTGGTAAAAACCAAGGGGCCACATCTTCAATCCTCGAGGGTGTCTTGAGAATGAGTTGAATCCGAATCCTCGCCAGCAGGCAGCTTCAGAAGCCGCGCGCGCACCAAACGCTTCGATAAGCTACACCCAATTTTCCAAGCAACGAAAAACCTCTCTATGAGTAAACCATGCGTGAGGAGTCTATTTTTGAGGCGCCTCAAAAATACACATCTCACCTGCCCCCACATCTCACCTACCCCCACATCTCACCTGCCCCCACAACACACCTGGGGGCAGCGGTAGGGGGCAGGGCACCATCCTGTGCTACCTTCCCCAGATCTCACCTGCCCCAGACCTCACCTGCCCCAGGTCGCCACACAGCTTGAGGTGCCTGTGCTCGTCCTCCAGGCAGCGGTAGGGCACCATCACTTGGGAGCCAGCGCGGGCTGTGGGAGGGGGACAGGAGGAGAGAGGGAGACAAGAGGAGGAACGCGGGGATGTGACGCCAGAAAAGGGGAGCTTGAGGTGCATGTGGCCGTCCTCCAGGCAGCGGTAGGGCACCATCACTTGAGAGCCAGCGCGGGCTGTGGTAGGGGAAAGGGGGAAGAGGGGGGGGAAGAGAAGGGGGGAGAGGGGGGGGAAGAGAAGGGGGGGGAAGAGAAGGGGGGAGAGACGGGGGGAGAGAAGGGGAGCAGAAGAAGGGCGGAAGGGGAGCTTGAGAGGTGCCTGTCCTCATCCTCCCCCTGTAGGGCACCATCACCTGGGAGCCAGCGCGGGCTGTGAGAGGGGGACCGAAGGAGAGACAAGGGGAGGAAGGGGGGGATGTGCCACAGAGTAAGGGAGCTTGATTGACGTGCCTATGCTGTGCTCGTCCTCCAGGCAGCGGTAGGGCACCATCACCTGGGAGCCAGAGCGGGCTGTGGGAAGGCGATGGGGGTAGGGAGGAGACATGGGTACACGATAGGACTTTGGCCATCCTCCAGGCAGCGGTAGGGCACCATCACCTGGGAGCCGGAGCGGGCTGTGAGAGGGAGGAGTGGAGAAAGAGGGACATCATGGGTAAATAGGCAGGTGGCAACAAGTGTGCTTCCAACACCTAACCGCTGAAAAAGGGTAAGCTAAGTGTTTCTCTTACCTAACTGCTGCACCACGTATCTCCCCAAAAAGCCAGTGGCGCCGAAGACAGTTGCGACCATGCCACTGCAGGGACGGACACAGTAAGCAAGCAGGGAGGGAGGGAGGGAGGGAGGGAGGGAGGGAGGGAGGGGGGGGGGGTAGGAGGGAGAGAGGGGAAGGGGCGGGGGAAAGGTGGGCAGATGAAGGGACGAAAGGTGAGGAGGCGGGCAACGGATGCCAGTGGCGCGAAGCACAGTGGCGAGGACACAGCAAGCATGCCGGGATGAAAGGACGAAAGGACGCTGAAAGGACGAAAGGACGCTGAAAGGACGAAAGGACGCTGAAAGGACGAAAGGACGCTGAAAGGACGAAAGGACGCTGAAAGGACGAAAGGACGCTGAAAGGACGAAAGGACGCTGAAAGGACGAAAGGACGCTGAAAGGACGAAAGGACGCTGAAAGGACGAAATGGCGCTGAAAGGAGCTCACCTGACAGAGGAGCGACCGCCAGGGCCGCGAGCAGCGACGCTGCTCCGAACAGCGAGCGATGTCGCACTGCGGCTGGCGACGGACGGCGACAAATCGCTGGCGCTAGCGACGGCTGAGGTGCCTGCAAACGACTCGATAATGAGAGAGTTGGGGGAAAGAGAGTTGGGGGGAAGAGAGTTGGGGGAAAGAGAGTTGGGAGACGGTGTGAGTGAAGTTTTGAGGCGCCTCAAGAATGAACGGCACGGGGCGTCGCACACACAGTGAGGCCGAATAACGCTAGCGTAAGGCGCATCTCGCAATAACGCGTACGACGGCCTCCAATAACGCCAGGACGATCTTACCACCGCGAAACACGGAGATCATGCATCCACGCGTATGTACGCTACTCGAATCGGGAAAAACCTATGTAAGGAAACGGTTCGGGCCGCAACGTCAGAGAGCTCGGGTCGTCAACGGATCATTCCAATATTTCACAAGAGGCTGAGATGAGTCGTATCCAGACGAACGTGGCGCTTGCTAAATCGATGGAAAAACTATACCCGCCGGCATCGTGAGCGCGGCTAAATCGATCGTGAGATTTAGCCGCGCTCACGATGCCGGCGTTGTCCTAGACGCGTTGTTCCGCGTGTTCGATACCCGGATCGTCTCACCACGCGCATCCACGAGGAGAAACAACACGCGAAACTTCTCTTGAGGAGTCAAGACATGTGGATCACCAATGGGAGAACGCGCGGCGCCGACGAGGCGAGGAGCCGCGCGATACACCAAAGAACATGCAACCGAGATCGTCTATTTGGATCGTCTAACAACAGGCGTGCACTAGAGAGAAACACGCGGCTTTTATAAGTGGTCTGAACGATACTCAAACTACATACGCGCATCGTCTCACCATGGGCATCCGCCAATGGGAGATAACGCGGCTTCAATAAGTGGTCAGAAAGATACTCGAACTACATGCACGGATCGTCTCACCATGGGCATCCACCAATGGGAGGACGCGCGGACGAGGCGAGCAATGGCGCGATACTCTACGAATACGCAATCGAGACCGTCTATTCGCTTCGTCTCACCATGGGCATCCACCAATGGGAGAACACGCGGCGCCGACGACGCGAGCAGCCGCGCGAATCCTGATGCCTGCCTTCGCGACAGCATGACTGGATACGGCAGAATGAGATGGGTAAGTCTGAGGGGTGCTAAGCGGTGATCAGTGGTGATCAGTGGTGCTGAGTGGCGATCAGTGGTGCTGACGCCAAGGCACGAAGCTCGGAGATCAGGGGAGGATACCCGCTGATGATCGCTCCAGGAGCTTAGGGACGGCTTTAGCTCCACCGAGGAAAAGAGGCAAGCGCACCCTAAGGGACAGACTACTGACCTAGAAGCGTTCTAGGGTAACTCCTAGAAAGCTCCAAGTTGGAAAGCAAGTGTGTTTCCAGTCAGGGAAATAGGACGGAGAGAGTGAGGAGGATGACTAGGGTTGAAGGCGTGTTTCTTGGCTCGTCGCGGGGTTCCCGTGACTCGAGGTTACAACCGCCTGCACGACAACATCTAGGTTTCCGGCAGGGCTGATTTCGTATCACATGCTTTTTGCGCACTATAATTCACTGTAGAGAAAGCGGAGTCTGAAACATGCCGCGTGGATTCTTCGCAAAATGGAAAAGTAAGATGGAAAGTGCAATCTTCGAGGCAACTTTAGGGAATTCAGGTCAAATTGTTGTCAATACAAATGCAACCCAATTCCCCTCCCCCAGTCCTTTTCCTCCCCCAGTCCTTTTCCTCCCCCAGTCCTTTTCCTCCCCCAGTCCTTTTCCTCCTGCAGTCCTTACCCTCCCAATCTCGCTCGTCCGCAGAAGATCTCGCTCGAAACCTGTTTCTCGAACCACCCTTCTCAACTGGTCCTAACTGGTCAGGTCACGAGAGATTAGCAGATTAGCAGATTAGCCGATTAGCCGCTTTGAATTCTGACATCTCGCCGATCTAGTCGATTGACCTGGAATTAATCCAGTCCGTCAGTTCATGTGACGCGTTAGAACGGCGTCGGGTTACCAGTCGCGCAACTGAACCTAAGCGCGTCGATCCCACTGAACCCAAGTTGCCGCTGTCAAGCCAGCCGCGATGGTTAGTAATCGAATTTTTAGAATTCTCAAAAGTACCGGAAAGCCGTTGTCACGATGGCGGACCTGTTTCGTCGTTCGCGCTTTCCCTGTTTGACCTGATCAATTCCGTTCCTAACGGCCGTCCTTAACGTAGGTGACCTTTGAGTCGACTCAAAAGTCTCTTTTGAGTCAACTCAAAAGTCGCGCTTTCCCTGTTTGACCTGATAAATTCCGTTCTTAAAAGCCGTCCTTAACGTCCGTCCCTAACGCGTGTCTCTCCGTTCTCCCCCGCTTCCTCTGCTCGTGATTCCTTTCCCGCCAGTTGCCGCTGTCGCTTCTGAAGACAGCGCAGGGCCATCCCATGGTAAGTAGTTTACGTAGCGTCTATTTCCCCTCCTGCCAGGGCCGCTCCCCTGTGCTCGTGATTCTTATCCCGCCTGTTGCCGCTGTCGCTGCTTAAAACCGCGCAGGGCCATCCCATGGTACGAAGTCTCCTCAGGCTCTAAGAAATTACCGTGAAACTGATTTTGGGAACTTCTCACCCTTGCACTCTCCGCCTGGGAATGGCTGGACCAGACGATTCGTCAAGCCTTTGCGAGATATTTTTTACGGTATTTTTACGGTAGTTGTTGTCCCTTCAGTGTACGCCTTCATGGTTATGCCTTACAGCGGGTATTCCCGATTCTGTAGGAGGATGAGTTGGAATGTCGTACAGCAGTCGCCTGGTCGCCTGGTCGCCTGGTCGCCTGGTCACCTGGTCAGCTGTGACACGTGGATGGACATCCACCTGCGGGAGGTCATCTGCACGTCGCCTCCTCTGCCCTTCCTCCCCTCCTTTCCCTTTTGCCCCAATCCCTCCCGCCTGTAACCAGCTGCTAGAGCTGAAGAACGGGGAAACGTACAACGGTTACCTGGTGAGCTGCGACACGTGGATGAACATTGAACATCCACCTGCGGGAGGGAGGTCCTCCTCTCAGTCCGCCCGGTTTCCCTTGCCTTCACCGCCCCGCTTGGGGAATCCCTGTAACCAGCTGGTGGAGCTGAAGAATGGGGAAACATATGACGGCCATCTCGTGAGCTGCGACACGTGGATGAACATCCACCTGCGGGAGGTCATCTGCACGTCCCCTTTTCCCCCTTCCCCTTCCCCCTTCGCCCTCCCCCTTCCCCCTCCCCCTTCGCCCTCCCCCTTCCCCTCCCCCTTAACCTCCCCGCCTGATAATAACAGCTGGTGGAGCTGAAGAACGGAGAGACGTACAACGGTCACTTGGTCAGCTGTGACACGTGGATGAACATCCACCTGCGGGAGGTCATCTGCACGTCCAAGGACGGCGATCGTTTCTGGCGCATGCCGCAGTGTTATGTGCGCGGGAACACCATTAAGTACCTGCGAGTACCAGATGAGGTGAATACCAGACCAGGGAGGGAGGGGAAAGGTGGCTTTTGAGTCGACTCTTAAGTCACTTTTGAGTGGACTCAAAAGTCACCTCGGGAGGGGAAAGGTGGGGATGAGTGAGGAGGGGCAAGTCTTTGGTTTGGACCTTCTCTTGCACAGCCAAGGACGGCGACCGCTTCTGGCGCATGCCGCAGTGCTACGTGCGCGGGAACACCATCCAATACCTGCGGGTACCGGATGAGGTGAGCAGGGTGGTGCCTTGTGTGGTGTGCGGCAAACAGTGTTGCTTGCTTCTGGCGCGTGCCGCAGTGCTACGTGCGCGGCAACACCATCAAGTACCTGCGAGTACCAGACTTTTGAGTCGACTCAAAAGTCACCAGACGAGGTGTGTGGGGAGGGAAGGAAAAAGAGGGGGCTGGGAGAGGGGGGGGTGGGGGGGAGAAAGGGGGAGGACGGCGTCCCTGGGTCTTCATCTGCACGTCCAAGGACGGCGATTGCTTCTGGCGCATGCCGCAGTGTGCTATGTGTGCGAGGCAACGCCTTCAAGTACCTGCGTCTAAAACACTTCGTAATTGGTCCCCTCATTTGCTCAACTGTTTCTGTTACTGCAAATACATTGGTATACTTGCTGCGCCTTCTTGGTGGCATTTTTTGTCCACATGCTTGGTGTGCGTTTCAGGTGATTGACAAAGTACAAGAAGAGGTCATCAGAAGACAAGGTGAATTTCCAGCCACTTCTACCATTGCCATGCCTTGCTTCCCTCTCTTTCGTACCCCCCTCTCATGCCTCCCTCCCTCCGGCGTTGCTCTGTTACCCCCCTTCCCCCACCGCCCCTTCCCAACTCCACCTTCCTCCTCCATATGTCTGTTAAGTCGTTTGAGAAAGGTCCACTTTCTCTCCCGTCTTTTGACAGTATGCTCAGTTGCATTCCCCTGCTGTGTTCCTTCTTTATACGCCTAAACCCATGGAATCTCCACTCTTCCGTTTCTCACCCACTCCTTTTCCCCCCTGTCTTTCTCTCCCTTGCCCCTTTCTCCGTTCACTCCCTCCCTTTGAATCTCCCCTTCTCTGCCCGCCCCTCAGATCGCAGGCCGATACTGCAGGGAAGGGGAAGAGGTGGCAGAGGGCGGATGGACTAGGGGGGGGGGTCCTTGCTGTCCCATCTTACACCGCTGTCTTTCTGTGTACTTTTCTGCCGTCCCCCTCCTTTGAACTCCCCCTTCTCTGACCGCCCCTCAGATCGCAGGCCGATACAGCAGGGCAGGGGGAGAGGCGGCAGAGGGCGGATGGACGAGGGGGGAGGGGGGAGAGGAGGGCGGGGGAGAGGGTGGGACGATGGGGGGCGGGGAGGAGGGAGAGGAGGGAGAGGAGGTGGAAGAGGAGGAGGTGAGCTTTGTTCTTTGTGGAGTACTAAATTATGGATACCCTTTCGCTCGTTGCTGGCGAGTTTTGCCTGATTCTGAATCATGGATACTCCCAAGAATTGCCTTTATGGTTCTCTGATCATACAGTACCGTATGTGAGACGCATGGGCACCAGTAATGTCCAAAAGAAGCACCACAACCGCTAACCTCTCCTTGAGTTCCCCCTCTGTCTTCTCTTCCGGTCTGTCTGCTTTGTCTTGTTTGTTTGTTTGTTTTTATTTATTTATTTATTATTTATTTATTTCCCAGGACCAGGAGGAAGAGGCAGGGGATGATTGGCCATCTGGATGTGTGCAAGAGCTCAAAGCTTGCTCCCTGAGTGTATCATGGTCACAATTAGATTGCCTAGGCCCATTTGTTACATCTATAACCGAGAAAACCTCGATTGGCCATTTATGGAGCCAACTTGTGAGCAAATCAGAATTACCCATACCAACATTGTGAATATGGGGGCTTGAGATTGCTGTTTCGGAAGTACCCATAACAACATTGGTGCGAATATGTCTTAGAGATTTTTGCAAAACAATCATTACATGATACTTCTTTCTCTTATTTCGGTACATCTTTGTACACCTAGTTGGTGGTATTGCGCGTTTTGCGCTTGTTTGCTCAACACCTTCGCAGAAGCTCAAGAATGAATGTGGCCTCAACCTTCTGAGGGGTACAGTTTCCGCAAGCCTCGCTCCACAACCAAGCGCATGTCGCACCGCACCAACCAGACGAGCCAAATTCCCACGGCATGCACGGGCCTTCCTACTGGCTGCACCGACTCAGCTGCCATCTGGACGAATCTATTCGGAGAATTTGGACACGTGACACACGCAATATCTCACCGAGCCTCACGCGGTGACATGGAGGCCCAAGGTCCAGCGCCCAAGCCAAGCCAGGGAAACAAGCCGCCCTCGAGGATGCCGCGCGAAAAACCGGCCCGGCGCGTCATGTCAAGGGGAGTGTCTCTGGTGAATGTCACATACACCCCCCCTCGAGAATTTCGCGCATTTCCGCTCACGGCGCGAGATGTTTCCGCCTGCTTTCGCCTTAGCGCACAGATCAACGCAGCTTGGCGTGCAGAAACGCCCCTGCCGGCGGAAGCATGGGGAGGTCGGACCTGGCGCTTGCGCAGCGCAGCCAAAACGACTTACCTTACCACCTGGGTCACGTCATTTTCCCTAAGCAGGAACCGCCTCCTAAGCAGGTCGCATCGCATCTTGCGCCCAGTTGGACGCGCCATCAGCTTATATATTGTTGTGTGAAGCATCTTCTTAGCACAGTCAGTGAAGACTTGCACCCAGGTTCAATCGTTGAGCAAGACCGAGACTAATCGTACACAGCTTCTTTTGTTCTGGTAATAACATGACGACGACAATTTCCTCCGCCTCCCTCCACCAGCGCAACGTCGCCCGATCCTCATCTGCAGTCGAGCCTCGATTTCATCGCGAAGTGGTGCAAAGCGACGCCGTGCGAAACGAATTGGTGCGAGCATTTCGCCTGATCGACACCAACGGCGACGGCCGGATCTCCTACGAAGAGCTCTCAGTTCTCCTTAATCGCCTAGGTATCGACGACGGTCTAGCTGTCGTCCAAGATATCATCGGCCACGCGGATCGCGACGGCGACGGTCAGATCGACGTCGAGGAATTTTTACTCGCTGCCCATAAAGCTCCCTGTAACTGTCACAGCATCGGCGCGCCTTGCTGGCACGAAAACGAGGATCTTCAAAAGGCTTTTACGCTGTTCGATTGTGACAATAGCGGGGATATTACAGCGGAGGAGCTCCAGCAGGCGATTTGGAAATTGAGCGGCGATTCCGTGAGCCTTTCGGATTGCCAGAGGATGATCGCCAGGGTTGACTCTAACGGGGATGGAATGGTGGACTTTAACGAGTTTCAGCGCATGATGGAGGGAGTGTTCGGCTGAAAGCATGACGCTCACGTGGCATACTCGCCCTTGATATTAACATAGGTACTACCGTACGCCTGTCAATAAGACCCGACCCGACCCCATGCCGACCGACAGAGCCATCATCATGACGCCATGGTGGCATGAGACCTCTCCCTCTAGTAGCAGAATAAGTGCACCAGGGGTTTCCGTTCCCCTTTCCAGTTCGGACATGAATTCAGAATCGCACCCCGTTAGTACACCAGCCCTCTGGTATTTGCGGACCTCCTGCATACACTCTCATCTGCTGGATTCTTATCTTGTAATATTTAATTTCTTTTCTGAGATGTTACTTTGTGCAGCATCATATTGTTGGCAGAACCTCAACCCTGAACCTGGAGCTGTCAAACCAGCTTTTTAAATGGACCACAAGAGTTTCTCATCATCCCATCCCACTTGGTAGTTTTCTAACGGCTATTTCCTTTTGATGCAAGTCATCTACTCCACGCAAGAACAGCAAAACCGAGAAGCGCTTGCTAACAAACACGAATCAGTCTTGTGGCAAACCATGTTAGCACAGAGAACCAACTAAAGTAGAAAATACACAGCCCAGAGGGCATTTGGCAACTACCCACCACGTAACAGGTGCAGTAGATAGAATGCGTAAGAAGAAACGTCTGAAATTGATACACTGTTCCCGACTCCATCATGTAATTGCCCATTCCTAATTTCCACCCAATTAGAACGTCCAACAAGTGCAATTCCCATGGCAAACGTTATAAAGACCATCCTACACACTCTCTCCAGTACCTGGCATCTACAGAATCATACACTATATGTGTGATTATGTGATACCCATAGGATTCCTAGTCTGTATGCATTCTGCTGTAACTACTAACCACCCTCCCACCACCATCAGCACCACCCTGCCATACCCCTCCCTTCTCTCCTCCCTTCTCCTCCACTCCACAATCTACCTGCCTGCGCCCCCGTCAAAGTCATCAGCACCCTTCCATCGCACAGCACAACCCTTTCAAGTTGAAACTCTCAACCCCATCACCACCTGGTCTCACCCCCTGGTCTCACCCCCTCTCCTCTCACCCTCGTCTCGCCCTGGTCTCACCCCCTGAGGACTCGCCCCATCAGGTCTACCCCCCTCAGGTCTACCCCCCTCAGGTCTACCCCCCTCAGGTCTACCCCCCTCAGGTCTACCCCCCTCAGGTCTACCCCCCTCAGGTCCCCTTTGCCCCCCACTCAACTTACCAAGGGGGTTTCAGCCCCCCTTGCCGCTCACTCAACTTACCCTGCGGGTGTCAAACCCCCCTTTGCCGCTCACTCAACTCACCTTGGGGGTTCCAGGCCCCCCTTGCCGCTCACTCAACTCACCTTGGGGGTTCCAGGCCCCCCTTGCCGCTCACTCAACTCACCTTGGGGGTTCCAGGCCCCCTTTGCCGCTCACTCAACTTACCCAAGGGATTTCAGGGCCCATTTTTCCTCTCCCTCTCAGACAACTGACGCTGGTGGGTGCAGCCCCGCTCTCTGTCCCTTAACTGCCTTCTCTTGTGGTAGCAGCAGCTCCCCTCCACCGCCCCCCACTCAACTTACCAAGGGAATTTCAGCCTCCCTTGCCACTTACTCTCCGTACCCTGCGGGTTTAAGACCCCCCTTTGCCGCTCACTCAACTCACCCTGGGGGTTTCAGGCCCCCATTGCCACTCACTCTACTTCCCTTGGGGTTTTCAGGCCCCCTTCCATCCCCCTGTCACTCAACTTACTCTGGTGGGGTAGATGCAGCCGCCCTCAATCACCCCTCGACAAACTGCACTCAACTCACCCAGGGAGTCTAAAGCCCCTTCTCTCCTGTCCCTCTCACTGAACTTGCTTGGGTGGTCTCACCTAGGAACGGCGGAAACCAACAGACTCACATGATAGGCCTTATGGCATATTGGAAGGCAACACGCTGGGGGTTTCAGCCCCACTCTCAACACTTTGGACCAACGAGCCCACATGATAGCGCTAATGGCATCAGGCAACACGTGGGGCATCAGGCAACACGTGGGGCATCAGGCAACACGTGGGCCGCCAATCATAATTTGCCGCCAATCATGTGGAGCTCTAGGCTCACCCCTTCCCTCTCCTGCTCACCCCACCCTAACGGGTTTCAGCCCCCCTAACCCTGGGGTTTTCCAACCCCCAAAGGAAAGACGAAGGGCAGGGTAGGGAGCAAGGAGAGTAAGGTGCCGAGGCAGGAGGCGGGTTTCAGCCCCCCTTACCCTGGGGTTTTCCAACCCGTGGGGCCCAACCCAACACGTGGGCCCCCAAACATCATTTGCCGCCTATCATTTCCCTCTCCTGCTCACCCCTTCCCTTCCACTCACCCCACCCTAGGGGTTTAAACCCCCCTTACCCTGGGGTTTTCCTACCCCCAGAGGGCAGGGTAGGGAGCAAGGCGAGTAAGGTGCAGAGGTGGGGGGTGAAACTCCCACGGAAAGCCACGGCAAGACATGGGAGGGCGGTTCAAACTCCCAAAGTAAGGCAATTGAGAGGCAAGAGAGAGGAGCAGAAACCCCCAGGTTAAGGCGAGCCAATGGCAGAGGGGGGGGATTCCTCTGCCCCTTGCTCGCCCTAACCTGGCGGTTCCAACCCCCCTCTCCCCCCCTGCCCCTCGCTAGCCTTACCCTGGGAGCTCCAACCTGCCTCCCCTGCCTTGCTCTCACTCTACCATGGAGGCTTCACCGCCCCTCCTTTGCCCCTCACTCTTTCTTCTCCTCCCCCTCTCACTCACCAGACAGTGATGCTTGTAGCCCCCCCAATATTGCCGCTCATTCTACTTCCCCCAGGGAATTCAGCCCCCCTACTCTTCCTCCTCTCACTCAACTTACAGTGGTGGGTGGTTGCACACGCCTCCTCCAATGCCCATCACTCTAGTTGCCTTGGGGGGTTTCAGCCCCCCCTTTCTCCTCCGCCTCTCGCTCAACTTACAGCGGTGGTTGCAGATGCCTCGATTGCCCATCACTCTAGTTGCCCCGGGGGGTTTCAGCCCCCCCTTTCTCCTCTCCCGCCACTCAACCTACACTGGTGAATGCAGCCCCCCTCCATCGCCGCTCATTCTTGTTACCCCAGGGGGGTTCAGGCCCCCATCCCCCCCCCCTGTCACTCAACTTACAGTGGTGGTTGTAGACGCCCTCCTTTGCCCCGCACTCTACTCACCCCGGGGGTTTCAGGCCCCCTGGTACCACCACCACCCAAGTTCACGTCCCAAGCCTCCCATCCCCCTCCCCACCTTCCCCTCCCTCCCCCCAGCACTAGGAGCAGCACACAGCCCCCTCCCCGTGGGAAACAGCACCCCCCATGGCTCTGCCTTGTGGGGCGAGCAGTGGCAGTGGAAAATGCGCGGGCAGCTCAAGACTCAAATCCCGCCACATTCAGCGTCGTAGGAGGGGACTCCCAACCAGAGCCGGCGCGCACGGCTCTGGCCGGTTCCATTATACGATACGCCAGTGTTGGTACTTGAGCACCAACTTCCGAGCCACACACTTTCCACTCACCACGCCCAACCCACAAGGCAGCAACCACAGAGGGTGCTGCCCCTAAGGGAGTGAACTGCATGCTCGCTCCTGTTGCTCTCCCCTCCCCCCCCTTCCCTCTCCCCCTCCGCCCCTTCCCTTTACCTCCACCTACCATAGCCGAGTGGAGCACCATGATGCTGCAACCTGGTAAGGAGGGGAGGAGAGGGTGGAGGGGAGGTGAGAGTGGGGACTGCACCTTCCTTTCCTCAAGGCGTGATGCTGCTGGGGGAAGGGGAACGGGAGGAAAGAAGAGGTAGGGGGACGGGGGTTGAATAGGGTGGGTGGTAAGAGGGTGGTGAGTGGGGCGACAGTGGGGAGTGCACCTTCCGTTGCTCAAGGCGTGGTCCTGCTGGGAGAAGGGTAAGGGGGGAGAGGAGAGGAGGTGAGAGAGGGGGTGGGCTCCATGCTCCTGCCCTTGCTCCAAGGCTCCAGATCCACATGCTGTAGGACGGAAGGAAACAGGGGGGGTGAGACGACCATACCTGTACCTGATACCATACCTCGCTCTCTCACTCCGAATCCTAGCCTGCCCTCTAACCACCCAGCCCCCACTGCTGCTGCTGCTGCTGCTGTCAGCTGCTGCTGCTGTCTGCTGTCTGCTGCTCAGCTTCCTCTGCTGCAGTCTCCAAACAAGGCCATGATGCTGCGACCTGCTGAGGAGGGGGGAGGGGGGGATAGGAGGGGGCCGAATAACGAAGTGCAAATGGCAATAACGAAGTGCAAATGGCAATAACGAAGTGCAAATGGCAATAACGAAGTGCAAATGGCAATAACGAAGTGCAAATGGCAATAACGAAGTGCAAATGGCAATAACGAAGTGCAAATGGCAAGAACGAAGTGCAAATGGCAATAACGAAGTGCAAATGGCAATAACGAAGTGCAAATGGCAATAACGAAGTGCAAATGGCAATACAGAAGGCCCTGAGAGGCTAGAGAGGCCCTGAGAGGCTAATGTTACTTAGCTGCAAGTCGAAAGCAGCGCTGAGAGCAGTTGTCCCCCAATCCCCTCCCCTCCCCTCCCCTCCCCTCCCCTCCCCTCCCCTCCCCTCCTGCTCCCTGCAGCCAGATGAAGCCCCCAGCTCGCAGGTCTGCCCCCCTGGGAGACGGGGGGGGGGGGCGGTGGGGGAGGGGAGGGGAAAAGGCGAAGGAAGTCCCAGAACAGCCAAAGCATGCAAGTGGTGGAAAGGCAGCGAAGGGGCATCATGTGCAGCAGCAGGAGGGGCTGGTGAGAGAAGGGGCTTACCATGAGCCGTTAGCCATGATCGAGACGAGCAGCAGTGTAAAAAAGTATAGTTTTGAGGCGCCTCAAAACTAACAAGGGGCTCACCATGAGACGCCAACCCACCCCAGATACTCTCCCTCTTGCCAGCATTCTTCCCAGCGCCCCGTGTGCCCCATGTGGTTCCACTTCCACATATGCGCCCATGTGACCCTTATATGCAGGTGCATGCGCCCCGTGTGCCCCATGGCACCTGCACGGCCACAGTGGCGGGGTGTGGGGGATTGGCGGTGTTGACCCCCACGCCCCTCCCCTCCACCTGCAAGGGGAAAGCTGTAGAGCATTGAGTAAGGAGCTAGGGGTAGAAGAGTGAGAGGTGTGCATGGGTGGGGTGGGATGGGATGGGATGGCAGGTGATAGCAGCAGAGGGACCACTGGAGCAGCACTAGGCACATGGTGCAGACCCTAGGGTAGTAGGAAGGGGGTTAAGTATTTCAAATTTAGGAGTAGGCTTAACCTTGGGGGGAGGGGGGGGAGCGGGGGGGGGTGGATACCTGGAATAAAGGGGGGTGGGGGGTTGGTCTGCACCATGTGAGCAAGGCTGCTGCAAGTGGGTTGGTTTTAAGGAGCATGGAGCATGGAGCATGGAGCATGGATGGACTGATGAGTTGCGAAGCGAGTGCATGTGAGAGTGTGACAAACAGAGAGGTAATTAAAGCAGGCGTGAAAGCAAGGAAAAGAAGGCATGAGGGCATGAGGGCATGAGTGCATGCGGGCGTGAGGGCATGAGGGCATGAGGGCATGAGGGCATGAGGGCATGAGGGCATGAGGGCATGAGGGTGCGAGAAAGCACTTATCTGCTGCTGCGCCTGCTGTTCATGGCGCTGCTGGCGGCCTCAGCCCTCTCTGCTCCTCACAACAGCCTTCACACCACCCGCGTGCTCCCTCTCTGCTGCTCCCCCTGGTCCTCTGCTCCCCCTCCCCGCGCAGTCACGCGCGCGCAGATCCGGCAGCAGAGGCCCTGCTGGGGGATGGGGAGGGAGAGGGGAGGGGGAGGGGGGGGGGAGGGGAGGGGCGAGGTAGTTCAGTCCAGGAGAGGCGGGTAGACAGATGGAAACAAAAATGTGCCACAGACCCAAGGGGACCAAGGGAGGGGGCCACTGCAGACGAGCCTTTTCAGGAAGATGACAGATGGAAGCAATGCATAACGAAGAGGACCAAGGGAGGGGGCCACTGTTAGAGCCACAGCTAGAAGCCACAGACCCAAGGGGAGAGGGGGGGTTGGCTTGACCAGAGGGTATACCTGCAAGCAATACCTGAGGGGGGTTATACCTGTAATACCTGCAATTAGGCTGGGGGTCCGTGGCTTGTTCACTGCACTGCTACCAGTGGCACAGTTTTGAGGGAATAAACCGAATGAGAGAATCAGGGGCGAGGCATGCTGTGAAAGGAAAGGGTGGGGATGCCATGCCGGCCAGGGAGTCGAGACTCGAGAGTAAATAGCTGGTTGCTTGCTGGAGGCCTTGGCGCCACTCAAGAGTCAAGGGTACTTAGCTGGTTGCTAGCTTGAGGCTGCGGGGCAATGGGGCACCACCAAGTGCCCTCTGCTCCCTCCCCTCCCCTCCCCTCCCCTCCCCTCCCCAACTGCTCCAAGCAGCCAGACACTTCCAAGCACGCTTGTGGCTGCTCCAGCAGCGGCCTTGCAGGGGGGATGGGGAGGGGAGGGGCGAGGGGGAGAAGGGGGGAGAAGAGGAGGGAGGAAATAGATGCAAGGAGGGTGTTTTTGAGAATTCTCAAAAACACCCTGCAAAATCAAGGAGGTAGTAGGGTCGAGGAGGGAAAAGAGAGTGAGAAGACGAAAAACGTGTGCAAGCAATGCAGAGGGGAGAGGAGGCAGGGGGGGGGGAGGGGGGAGGTGGCCACTGGTGGAGGCACATCCACAAGCCACAGACCCCAAAGGGACCTGTGAGGCTTTTAGGGGGGCTGAACCTGGGAGGGTTACCTGAGTGGGAAACCTGCAGTAGGGGGGGTCTGTGGCTTGCGAGCCGGGCCCCAACCAGTGTCGAGATTTCAAATGAGAGAGCAAAGCAAACAAAATCGGGTACGAGGGGATGAGCGGTACGAGGGGATGAGCGGTACGAGGGGATGAGTAGCAAAAACTGGATTCTAGTTTTGAGGCGCCTCAATACGAGGGGATGAGGGGTATGAGGGAATGAGCGAAATGAGGGAATGAGCAGCACAAACTGGAAGCGTATGAGGCAAGCATGGTTCGAGGTGGGCTCACCTTTGCTTGATTCCCACACCCACCCAATACTCTCCCTTCGCCGCAGCGTGCAGCGGTTCTCACTCCCACTCCCGTGGGGTGGTGCCAGGCCACTCCCAGTGTGGTGCAGTGATGCTTGCTCCCTCGCCTCGCCCCTCCCCACCACCGCTGCTGCCACTGCACCCAGCACCGGTATTGCCGCCACTGCGGAGCCAAGGGGGGAGGGGGAAGGGGCGGGGGAGGGGGGGAGAGAGAGGGGGCGGGAAGACCCCCCCCAGCTTGACGACAAACGTGGGCTCGATGAAATTCACGAGCAGGCGACGAGATGTAACCAGAAGCCTGGTGAGCCCCCGTTGTCGCAATCAGTAGTCGTTCACGTCGTCGTGTCGCCGCCTCCCCTTCGCTCGCTCTCGCGTAGCCGTCGCTAACGTCGAGTTGTCACATCCGTACATAAGTCGCGAGCCTGCTGTGTGCAGAGCAATGAAAGGGGTGGGATCTTTCTCACCTCCGACAGTGCTGTTTCAGATCTGAGAGTAAGCATGCGTGGGCACGAGAAGGCAGTATTAGTCAACTGCATGCGGAGCATCCTAGTGAACGATTAGTGATAGGCTAGGAGAGAACGGAGCGAGCAGCGAAGGGTTTTAGAGAGAGTCGTAGGACGAACCTTATCCAGCGGTGGCGGCTGCTGGCGACGCCATCGCGCGTACGACGCTTCCGATTCACCAGCGCGTGTCATCAGCCCGCTTCCGCCACGCGTACGATTCCGATCGCACGCGCCGTCAGGTCACACGGACTCAGTCGAAGGTTGTCGTCCGCGCCGTTGACGGAAGCCGTCAGCTTGAAACAGACTCGACAGAGTCCATTTGACGATTTCGCCGCGAGCAAGATTGCCACAGAAAACGGACAAGAGAGAACGCCAGAGGGATATAGTGCGTTAGTTGCAGCAGGGATAAAGCCGAATCAGAGCAGCACGAAACGGACTGCAGACGCGGTATGCGGCGGACGCCTACTCGCCCCCCCTCTAGCAAAGATCCGTCACTTACCAGGCCCCTTAGTGGGATGAAGACACAAACCGATGCGAACCGATTGCAACCGAAGCCAATAAAGGCGCTGCGTCCGACTCCCCGTGTGTGCTGGAAAACGAGGGCTCCGGAGCTCAACCGGGCAGAGGCGGCATGCGCACACACGCACCGAGCCACGGGCAGAGAGGGAGAAGCACCGAGAGGGAAGCAGAAGCAAAGCGGAGAGAGAGGGTATGTTAGTCGCAGTAGAAAAAACAGCCGACTCGAAGCAGCACGAAACGGACTGCAGACGCTCGATGCGCGGACGCCTACTCGCCCCCCCTCTAGCTTAGACGCGCCACGTACCGCCGGATTCACCGAATACGCGCTGTCCCCTCGCGCCACACGAATACTATTCGTGCCTAGTAGGCACTGTCCGCGATCGCCGCCGGGTGGCGACCGCCGCGACGACGAGGCCGATATAGGGTCTCCACCCACTCCGCGGTCGCCGGCGACCGCCACGGCCGTCGCGACGGGTGGTCCGCGATCGCCGACGATCGCAGTGGCGACGGTGCTGCGAGCAGCCAGCCGGGCCTCCAGTCCGCGACGGTCGCTGAGCCACCGCTCGTCGCCGTAGGCTCGTTGGAAGGCGGATGGAAGCGAGAGAAAGGGCGCACAAGGGAGAGGGTTAGTCTGAGCAGGGAAAGTGCGACTCAAACAGAAAAAGGGCTGCAGACGCTCTATGCGGCGACGCCTACTCGCCCCCCCAGCAGGATTTATCCGCCACTTACCACCGGAACGACGGCTCGAGTTGACGGCTCGCGATGACGAATCGGCGCCTTATCGGAATCGGTTCGTGTTGGTATCCGCGTCGACGGAACGACGACTCAGCGTGGCGAAGCCGATGCTCGCAAGCCATCCGTGTCGCATTCAGTGACGGCGAAACGAACGGCTCGGCGGTTAGATGACGGTTCTTCGTCTTGAAGTTCCGCGAGGCTGCAGATTGACAAGAAGAAGAATAGTCGCGAGTCATGTTAGTTCAGGCGCGACGAGAACACTCTTGAGGCGCCTCAATAGTTCAGGTGGGACGAGAACACAAGCCTTGTTTAGGAAAGCGGAGAAAGGGGGACTGGAGAACGCGAAAAGTAGCACGACACAAGTAGTAATCGACGATGCTCACCTCGTCATTCGAAATCGTATAAGAAAGTCGCGAAGTTGCGATGTTGACGCGAAGTGGCCGCTGCGCACGTCGGTAGCAGGCGAGCGAGGATGAAGTCGCCGGCGGCACTCGTGCTGCCGCCGACGATGGCGAAGTGCTGCAGCACGGCTATAACAACCGATGACTCGTCCGAAGCAGCAGCATTCCGAGCTCGCGGAGTCGGCGAGTTGCGCGAGAGAGACGTTGGAACGTGACATGCGACGGAGTGAACTAATGGAGGCGGAGAGCACGGCTATTGGGGAGGCGGAGTGCACGGCTACTGGGGAGCCGGAGATGGAGCAGCAGCAGCGCTTGAGATGCACGGAGATGGTGAAAAGTGAGAGGCTAGGCGCTAGAATGTGGGGAGAGCAGTCGGAAATGTGGGATAGCGGTGGGTAACTGTGGTTCACTCGAACCTCTGCTTCGCCTAACTCCCCACTGGGAGAGCCGATGAGGCGAACGAAGCGAAAGTTGCGTGGGGCTCCAAACTCGGGAGGCACTGGGGAGACAACTGCGGCTGTTTTGGGTTGGGTTCTACGCCGCCAGGAGCCGCGGGTTTGGAGGTATGGCGTGGCGACGGACTAAAGTTAGGAGGGAAAATGGACGGCAGTGGGAACATAGGCGGCTGTGGCGAAAAAAAGAGCCAAGTGGGCGATTCTGTAACTCGGCTGAGGTGTTTGACGAACGCTGTACGACACCCTGCATAAGGTTTCGCTCAAGCCATAACCTCGTTTTTGCTTCGCTAACCAGGTTCAATACATGAACTCTTCGGGGATTCCTGACTGCGTCAGTGGGTTTGAGGGGTTGCGTGCGGTTCTGTTGGGTTCGGTTTTGTGCGCCGAACCGCTTTGATGGTCACAGCTCAACGGGAAACGTCACTGAATCCGCCAACAGGCGGCGAATTTAATTTCCCAAGCTCGTTTGGCTTGCCTGTCCGAAGTTGCGGCGGGTGCTAACGACCACTGCTTCGTTTACTTTCTTCCCAAGGGCTGCACCATTCACCAATCAGAGAACGACGTGACCTTTCGCAGAATCCATAGACAGAACCTTGACGGTAGCACAGTGTCGCGGATGGTCACGTGACGCTCCGATAATATTGTTAGTAAGGTGTCGAAACTAGTAGAACCTAGTCGTCTTGCACAATTTATAACAGCACGAATCATTGTTGAAGTTTATGCCTTCAGATTAAATTATGCAGACTATAGTCGATGAGTATTTCCATCTGCCGGTACAGCCATATGAGCAGCATGTAAAATACTCGATCTTCAGTTTTCTCAACTTATCCTGGTAAGTAAACGACTAATTGAAGTAGCCCGAGGCCACCACCGCCGTACCAGCCAGAAAACAGACTCTGGAGTAAGGACCAACCACGCAAAATAGGAGCGATAGATGAATGCTAGTGCAACGATATGAATGTGAGTGTGTAGAGTAGAAGTGTGCATATATGAGACATCACATGGCTTCAAGGTGGACCCAGGCATGTAGATTCCGGAGAGAGAGAGAGAGGGACATTATGGATGTTGACTCCTGGCAAGCAGAGATGCATCAGAGGCCGGTCGGCTGAGGCAGAAGCAGAGGGAACAGGGAGTCGACCCGTGAGCCTAAATCGCAGGGAGGGTGTTGGACATGCGTAGTGTTTGGATGGTGGCGAGCAGGCCTTTGAAGACAACAGCAGAGTAGGCAGAGCGGAACGAGTCAACGAGCGCAGGGGAGGGGTCGGAGGCCACGCGGTTGAGGCAGAAGTCAAGGAAGCCGGATTGGAAGGGAGAGGGGCTCTTCAGCTGCTGCTGGTAACGCTGTAACCAGAGGTGCGCCATGACTTGGCACATGGCCTCCTCGATTTCTGAGGGTAGGGCTGAGAAGGCACCTGTGGGGAGGAGGGAACCGGGCAAGGGAGAGGAGAAGAAAAGTCAGGTTACTGCTGGTAGTAATGTTGTAACAAGAGGTGCGCCATGGCCGGGCACATGGCCTGTTGCATTGCCAAGGTGGGGCTTAGGGCGTGTTTCTAGTTGGTGTCATCCCAAATTGGTGTCATCCGAGATAGTTGGAAACCAGTCGTATGCTGTAAATTTTCAGCAAAACGCACGTGATTGCTTTTCCAACTTTCCCGGATGACACCAACTTGGGATGACACCAACTAGAAACATGCCCTTAGAACGCACTGTGGGAAAGGGAGGAGGAGGGGAGGGAAGGGCAAGAGGAAAGGACGAACCTCGAAATTACTGGTAATGCTGTAACCATGGGTGTTACACAGTGAGCACCATGAGCTCACACAATGCCCCTTCTGCATGTCTTGGAAAATGAGGGCACTCCAGAAAGATGCGAGAGGTGAGGCAATGGCACTTAGCCAACACCAGCACTGAAAGGTCCGGTGTTGGTCATATGCCTCATCATAGCAGGCATATGACCAACACCACAGGCATGCATGAGGCGCCTCAAATCTAGCCCAACACCAAAAACATGCATGCATCCATGCATGCGACGAGACATGGACGGACGTACCATCGAGGAGGAACCATGCCCGCATGAGCTGATTCGCAATGACTGCCCCTGCCAGAGGTCTGATGGCGGTGAGGGGTGAGGGGGGTGACGGAGGGGGCGGGGGGGGGGGAGAGAAATTACGATGGGAGGAGGGGCGGGAGAGGAGATGAAAGTACGAGATTTACGAGGAGATGAGAGGAGATGAGAGGAGATGAGAGGAGATGAAGCTACGAGATTTCCTGAGAAAGGTCAGACAGGGGGGCGAATGACAGGAGTGAAAGGGGACGAGGGGAACTGGCAGGATGCATGCATATATGAAACGTGATCTGCTGCTGGTAAATCCTGCAGCCTGCTGCATATATGGATGCATATATACATGCATGCATGGTATGTCCATGGGTGCATGGTATGTCCATGGGTGCATGGTACGTGCATGGGTGCATGGTACGTGCATGGGTGCATGGTACGTGCATGGGAACAATCTTACATGGGTGCATGCATGACATGTGCATGGTACATGGAACATACGCAGGGAGGCCATAGAGAATGACGATGCCAGAGACAGCAGTGGAGTTGACACGTGCCAACGACTTGGGCTCACTTGCAATGCCCCCAAACGCCCCCCCTGCTGCGGACCCTGGTGCTCGTACGACCTGAAAGGGGGAGGGATGGAGAGGAGAGGAGAGAAGAGGGGAGGGGTATAGGAGAAGAGCGGACGGAATGGGAGAAGAGGGCATCAGGAGACGGTGGGAGGAAAGCGAGAGGAGATAAGGGATCTGGGAAACGAGAGGAGAGGAGAAGAGGGGACAGCAGGGGGGTTGAAGAGGAGTGTGTAATGAGTCGATTTTTGAGTCGACTCAAAAATCAACTCATTTCATACGGGTTGAAGAGGAGTGGAGGGAGGGGAATGGTGAGAGCAGCATTGAGACTCACTGTTTGGATGGTGGAAAGGGGGGTGGGAGAGGAGCAAAGGGGACGGGGACAGCAACGGGGTAGACAGGGAGCCGAGGGAGGTGAGCAGTGAGAGTAGCACTGAGGCTCACTGTTTCGATGGTGGTGTCTTGTGTGAGGCAATGCAATGCAGACTCGTGGCATGATATAGAGCCTGGATTAATGAGGCGACTCACCACTTTGAGGCGCCTCAAAACGAGGCAATGCAATGCAGACTCGTGGCATGTTATAGAGCCTGGATTAATGAGGCGACTCACCGCTTTGAGGCGCCTCAGAACGAGGCAATGCAATGCAGACTCGTGGCACGTTTTAGAGCCTGGATTAATGAGGCGACTCACCGTTTCGATGGTGGTGTCTTGTGTGAGGCACACTCCCGGCACCACAGCCAGGCGAGACGCACCCTGTTGTGATGAGGAACGCGCCATGTCATGTCATGCCATGCCACGTCATGCCATGCCACACCATGCCATGCCATGCCACGTCATGCCATGCCACAGGCATACAACCCAGAAGAACTTGAACTTGATTTCTGGACCACTGAGAGAGGCATCCACCAAAAACAGACACATACCGGTGCAAACATGGTTACGGGAACGGAAACCCCTCCTCTACCACTCGCCGTCCACTATGCAGACACCTCCTGTCTCTCCCTCATCCCTCTTGCCTGCACTCTCACGCCATTCCTGGATTTGTATCTCCTCTCTCCACACCCCCCCCAAACCTCCCTCACCCTCCTATCCCTCCCGCCTGCACCCCTTGCCCCCCTCCTCCCACCCTCCTATCCCTCACGTCTCTCGCAGTCTCCCCCACCTCCCCTCACCTCCCCTCACCTCCCCTCACCTCCCCCCACCTCCCCCCACCTCCCCCCACCTCCCCCCACCTCCCCCCACCCCCCCCCACCTCCCCCCTTCACCTGTCTCTCTCCCCCAGCAGCAGCTTGTAGCGCCGCAACATCCGCGGTGACCACCGGCAGGTCATCCCCCATCACGCCCACGGCACCCCTCAGCACCGCTCCCAACCCCACCTCCTCGAAAAAGCTCAGCACAGAGGCAAAGAGGGGGGCGCACTCAGACGCATCTACAACTACCGCTCCCAGGGAGGACGAAGAGGAGGAGGAGGTGAGGGAGGAGAGGGCGGAGGCGGGGGGAGAGGGCCAGGAGCAGGTGTTACAATCGGGGCAGAGGGCGCGGTTACCGCCAATGTCGACCATTGTGCATGTGCTGGGCTGGAGGGGGAGAGAACGAGGGGGGGGGAAGAAGGGGGGGAAGAGGGGGGGGAGGGGAGCATGGGGGCAGAGTGCAGGCAAGAGGCGGGGGGAGAGGTCCAGGAGCAGGTGTTATAATCGGGGCAGAGGGCGCGGTTACCGCCTATGTCGACCATGCTGCAAGTGCAAGTGCTGGGCTGACGGGGGAGGGGGAGGGTTAGAGGGGCGAAGAGGGGAGCAGAGGGGAGGGGTGCAGTGCAGGCAAGAAGTGCTCTCCCCTTCATGCAAGAGGAGTGAAATCAGTCAAATCGTAACCCAAAAGGTATATTGAGCGGCCCCTACCCTACCACTACTCTTCCCAGGGAAAAGGAGAAGGGGGAGGAGGTGAGAGAGGTTTACACATGCGAGTGTGGCCAGGAGAAGACTGAAAGGCTAATTGAGAAGCCTCTACCAATAACCTTCTGTTGGATTCACCTGAGGGCGACTTCACGTTCTTTGTGTTAAATTCACCTGAAGGCGAGTGCAGGCGGAGCAGAGTGGAGAGCTCTATGTGTAGGTGCTGTGCTTGGCGCTCTATAGCTTTGAGAATTAGATCACCTGAAGGCGAGTGCAGGCGGAGCAGAGTGGGGAGCCATCTGTGGAGGGGCTGTGCTTGGTGCAGTGCTTGGAGTGCCACAGGTCGTTGAGGCGGTACTCCACCATGCCAGAGTCGTTGGGGGCCATCTGAGGGGAATACAGGAGAGATGCAGGCAGGCAGGCAGGGAGGAGAACACGAGTAAGAGAGAGGGGCGCGTAGGAGGAGAAAGAAGCCGGACTTGGCGTGCCACAGGTCGTTGAGGCTGTCCTCCACCATCTCCACCGTGCCAGAGTCGTTGGGGGCGATCTGAGGAGAATACAGGGGGAGATACAGTCAAGCAGAGGGGGCAGGAGGGAGGGGGAGGGGCTGTGCTTGTCGCAGTGTTTGGCATTCCACAGATCGTTGAGGCGATACTCAACCATGCCAGAGTCGTTGGGGGCGTTCGAGGGGGGCAGCACGGATGAAGAGCGATGAAAGCACATGGGAGAGAGGGAGGGGGAGCGAGCACCCGTCAGTGGGAGACTGTGCTACAAAAGTTCAAAATCTGGTCGACTTAGGAGGGAAGGGCATGACTTTGTCACCTAAAATAGGGTTATGTTTGGAAGAGCTGCACTTACATAAGTGTCACAGACATAGCACTTCGGGTGGAAGAGCTGGCGGTAGCATTCTGTGTGGTAGGTGTCGCCCTCCTTGACAGAGCACTGCTCAAGAGACAACGGAGGCAGCAGGAGAAGGAGGGAGTTTTCGATTTTATGGAGGCGTCTCGTTTTGAGGCGCCTCAAAACTAGACTCCTATCAGCGGAGACAGCAGGAGAAGGAGGGATTTCTCGATTTTATGGAGGCGGAAAAAACGGGGCTGGCGGTAGCATTCTGTGTGGTGGGTATCGCCCTCCTTGACAGAGCACTGCAAGAGAAGGTGCAAGGAAGACAGCAGGAGAAATATGGGCGGTGTAGAAAACCCCATGAACGAACGGTACCATTCTGTGTGGCAGGTATCGCCCTCCTTGATAGAACACTGAAGAGCACTTGAAAGGGAGGCAGGGAGGGGAACATGGGCAGTTACGAAAACCCATGAACTAGTGGTAGCACTCCTTGTGGCTCGTGGTACGTTTTGCCCTCCTTTTGAGTCGACTCAAAAGTCAGCTAGTGGTAGCACTCCTTGTGGCTCGTGGTACGTTTTGCCCTCCTTTTGAGTCGACTCAAAAGTCAGCTAGTGGTAGCACTCCTTGTGGTATGTCTGTGGTACGTGTTGCCCTCCTTTGCGGAGCACTGCACATGAAAGCAGGATCACGAGCAGCATCGAGGGCAGAAGAGACATTCAAACGTAGCCCGTGAGGTGACGTGGACAAGAACGTGCAACACTTCCCCACCACTCACTCTCCCTCCACGCTCTCCCTCACTCCCTCACTCACTCACGCTCTCACTCTCCCACTCTCTCCCTCACTCCCTCTCTCACCTTCAGTCACGGGCAGTCAACAGTGGCAGCAGCACTTGAAACGGGCTGGGTGCCAGTGGCGGCTGACAGCAATCAGGCAGCGAAGCATTGGAACACAGGTCGCTGTGGTGGCACCACGCTCTCCCTCACTCACTCACGCTGTGGTGTTCCAATGCTTCCATGGCACTCACTCTCTCACTCCCTCTTTCACTCCCTCTCTCACCTGCATTTCAGTCACGGGCAGTCGGCAGTGGCAGCACTTGAAGCACGCTGGGTGCCAGTGGCGGTTCAGAGCAATCAGATAGCGGCCGGCGTCTATGCTGCGATCGCAAGCACCACAAACCCCATGGCGTGTGGGGCTGGGGGAAGGGGTGTATAGGGGTGTGGGTGTGGGCGAGGGCGAGGGAAAAGGGAGAAGAGGACAGGGTGGGTGGCAGGACCAGTTAAGAGCCATCAGAAGGCACAGCAGTAGCGGGCACAGGCACAGCACCCAGCGAACTCACATCAGCACCCAGCGCACTCACATCAGCACCCAGCGAACTCACATCAGCACCCAGCGAACTCAAATTAGCACCCAGCGAACTCACATCAGCACCCAGCGCACTCACATCAGCACCCAGCGCACTCACATCAGCACCCAGCGCACTCACATCAGCACCCAGCGCACTCACGTGGCGTGGAAGCCCTTCATGGGCGTGACCAGGACCAGAGCACCACTCATCGCATCCAGCCCTCCTCCCAACCATCCCCCTACCCCCCCCCTTGCAGCACCAGCGGGCACATGCCTGTCCATCAAGGGCCGACCTCCCCGTTCCCATCAAGCCATATCAAGGGAAGTCACAATAGCACCCAGCACTACCGATAACTCACGTGGCGTGGAAGCCCTTCATGGGCGTGACCAGCACCAGAGCACCACTCGTCGCATCCAGCCCTCCTCCCAATCCCCCCCCTGCAGCAGCTGCAGCGCCAGCAGGCACAGGCCCGTCCACCAGAGCCAGCAGGTCCACCTCCCCGTTCGCCTGCTTGGGTGCCACCGAGTTCACCTTCTCCAGCAAAGAGGCCTCTGACGTGCCAGTGTCTATGTCCTGGGGTCGGTGGCAGGGGAAGAGGGGGTTAGCGGAGGGAATGACAAGGGACGGGAAGGGGAGGGATGGGTGTGCTTGGACGCTACCGAATGCACCTTCTCCAGCAAAGAGGGCTCTGCCGTGCCGCTATCTATGTCCTGGGGTGGGGAAAGGTATGGGGGAACAGGAAGAGAGAGGGTGGGGTGGGGGAGGGAAGGGTTTGGGACAAGTGGCTTGAGCAAGGAGTGAGATTGGATCAGGGCCGTCCAACAGCCAATCGCCCATCACTCCCCACCACCCCATTGCACCCCTCACTCACTCACCAGTAAGCTGGTCTCCTACTGAAACGCCTTAGAGATGAGGTCGTCGGAGCAGTGTGCAGAGCACCAGAGCGCCCTTGTCTCTGACGGTGCCAGCCCCATCCCGTTCACAATACCCCCTCCTTCCCATCCCTCATCCCTACCCCACTCTGATAACCCCACCCCCCCCAACCCCCCCCACTCACCAGTAAGCTGATCTCCCGCCTTGGAGATGAGGTTGTCGGAGGTGGGAGCAGTGTAGAGCACCAACGCGCCCTCGCCCCCGACGCTGCCCAGCCCCATCCCTTCCACCCCACCCCTTCCTTCCCATCCCTCATCCCTTGAAGAAATACTACGGCGAGAGCGCTTATAAAGTGTGGGAGCGATTCTGGCAGAGTAACGGTATAGGAACAGTGCGCTAGGCGCTGGTGGTATTCGGGCAGAGTTCGCCTCGAATTTCGACCAAGAAGGCGAACTCTACCCAAATACCACCAGCGATAACCCCCTCCGATACCCCCCCCCCCCCCTCACTCACCAGTAAGCTGATCTCCTGCTGAAACGCCTTGGAAATGAGGTCGTCGGAGGTGGGAGCAGTGTAGAGCACCAGAGCACCCACGCCCGCATCTGTGCCCAGCCCTAACAGATCGTCTTCCATCGACAGGAGATCTGGGGGTGGTGCTGCCGCTGCTGCAGCAGCTTCCGCTTCTGCTGCGGCTGCTGCCTCTGCTTCCTCTTCCTCTTTTCGGCGGGCTAATAGGGGAAGGACGGGAAGGGAGGGGCGTGGGGTTGCAGGGGGAAGCAGCAAGGAAAAGTGGGAGTGAGATGGTGAAAACGTCTTGCAGGCAACGTGATCAGATGTAGCAAATTGCCCTCCACGGAGGGAGAATGGCAGGGGAGAGAAGGCACTGTGACTCGTGGCGTTTACTTACTATCTCTTCCATGTGCTGATCTGGTATGTTCGTGTGTCAGCTTGTCCAGGTGTATTTTGAGTCGACTCAAAATACATCTTTCATGTGCTGAATCAGCACTGCTGATCTGGTATGCTCGTGTGCTCACTTCAATGCGTGTCTGTGCACACCTGCACTTGCACTGACCAATCATTTGCTCTTGTACGGTCGGTCCTTCACCGTTCGTCACCACTCACCACTCACCTCCACTGCACCACGGCACACACTCACCTCTCTCCTCCTCTCGCCATATGCGCTCCGCCCTATCTCGCACCCGCTCCTCCTCCTCTTCCCTCCACTGCAACACTCACCGCTTGTACGGTCGGTCCTTCACCGTTCTTCACCACTCACCACTCACCTCCACTGCACCACGGCACACACTCACCTCTCTCCTCCTCCTCCTCTCGCCGTATACGCTCCGCCCTCTCCCTCTCCCGCTCCTCCTCCTCTTCCCTCTCCCGGTCGTATGGTCGGTCCTGCACCCACCCAAGCCAACCAATCCAAGCCAGCTATCCCGAGCCACTCACCCCGAGCCAGCCACCCCGAGCCACTCACGCCAATCCGTTCATGCCATGTCAGCCAGCCACCCCCCAGCAACCCATCACAGACCGAATGCGTGGCAGATCACGCAGTCCAGAACAACAATCCGAGGCCAACAAAGACACACGAGAATCAGGAGGATGATTGCAGAATCATAGCCACGGAACGAGGATCAGCTAGATCGGGACGGGAGACGTTGGTTGGCATTGACAGCAAGCCATTGAGTTCAATTCCGTGTGTTATTAATACTCTTCCCTCAACGCACTCGTGCATACTCGTCGTAGCCATATCGGCTGCCCCGCTCGCCGCCATACCGCCCGCCATACCCCTGCCCACACCCTGACGCCCTGACGCTCATCGGCTGCCCACACCGTGACGCCCCTCGAAACCGGGCCTTCATGGGTCCTCACAACCGAACCCGTCACTGCACCATACATGCGCCTTCTTCCCTCAACGCTCCCGTGCATACTCGTCGTAGCCATATCGACTGCCGTGCTCGTCGTCGTACCGTCCCCCATACCCTTGCCCGCACCTTGACGCCCCTCGAAACCTGGCCTTACAAAACCTGGTCTTCAAACCTGACCCTCACAGCCAAAGCCGTTACTGCACCCATATACCTGCCTTCTTCCCTCAACGCACCCGCACATAGTTCAACGCACCCGTGCATAATCCAACGCACCCGCGCATACTCGTCGTAGCCATATCGGCTGCCCCGTTCGTCGTCGTACCGCCCGCCATACCCCTGCCCCTGGCTTCCGCCGTCGCTCCGCTGGTCGTGCAGCTGGGGCGCGCGGTGGTCGTACCCGGGGGGCTGGGGAAGAGGGGACGGGGAAAGAGGGCAAGGGGAAGACAGAGTGGCGATGGGAGAAGGTCGTGAGAAAGGAGTGAAGCGAGGGAGCGGGAATGGGACCTTCTGGCGCTCCGCTGGTCGTGCAGCTGCGGCGCGCGGTGGTCGTATCCGGGGGGCTGGGGAAGAGGAAGGAAGAAGGGAAAGTGGCGCAGCGGAGAGGAATCGGGGGAAAGGAAAAACGGGAGAATCGGGTGTTTCAGGGCGCTGACGGTACGACGACGCCCCAGAAGTGGAAAGCACTTGAAGCTGGGCGCGCAGTGGAGTTGTATGGGAGGCCGGGGAAGTGGGTGGAGATAATTGCGAAGGGTAGGGCATGAGGGAGGCTGAGGGAAATGGGGAAGCGGGAAAGGTAGCCGGGAATGATGAACCGGGTAACCGGGAATAATGAACCGGGTAACCAGGCTACATACCGCAGTGCTGGACCATTTAAGCCACCACGGCGATTCGTCTTGCATGCCTGAGAAGCGGTACGTTCGCCCGACGCCCTCGTCCATGTCGTCTTGGGGCAGCGGCGCGTGCTGATGCTCCAAGGCACTCATCACGAACCTGCGAGGAGCGGAGAGACGGCGTAGAGTGAGAAATGCCAGAGATAGTTGGAAGAATGAGATGCAAGGCACTACAGGCAACGCCCTCGTCCATGTCGTCTTGGGGCAGCGGCGCGTGCTGGTGCTCCAACGCACTCATCACAAACCTGGTCGGACAGGAGAGATGGGAGTGCAGCAAGAAATGAGGGAAATAGTTGGAAGAATTAGACTCAAGGAACTACATGCAACGCCCGCGCCCTAGTTGGTGTCATCTTGGGGTGACGGCGCGTGCTGGTGCTCCAGCGCATCACGAACCTGCAAGGCCGGGAAGGGACGAAAATAAGGAACGGACAGACGTTCGACGACAAACGGGCGAGGACTTGGGAAGGATCTGACCTTTGAGTCGACTCAAAAGTCAGCGTGGGAGGATCTGACCTTTTAGTCGACTCAAAAGTCAGCTTGGGAAGGATCTGACCCATCGAGAAGGCAAAATCGTAGCTTTCTAACAGCGACCAAAGGTGCTGGAAGCCTTTCAGGACGGGCGGAGAAGGTGTTTTCTGACGGGTATAGGGAGGCATCTGGCGTACGTTCTTGACACGTCGGCAAGCACGTGATTGTCAGGCCTCAAAATGCGGATTCGTTTTGCTTTTCACTGATGACGGACGACTTTTGAGTCGACTCAAAAGTCAACCGTCGACAATGCTGGCCAACTTGGACTTTGAGGACGCCTTAACATGCAGTGTATTCACGCGAACGTCGGAAGGCGTGACATTTGGCAATCAGCTAATTTCAAGCGTGGCTGATGCAAACACAGGTGAGAAACGCCTCGCGGGCAACTTCATCCACGCGTCCTGACGATGAAATGTCTTGCCTTCGGGCCATGCCGTGACATCGACGACCATTTCCTGGCTTAAGCAGCTTCAAGAAGCACTAATTTAATGTGTTCCTGACGACGAAGCCTCTTACCTTCTGAACCATGACGTCACATTGCCGACCACCTCGTCCACTTGCTCCATCGTCGCGCCGAATCAGCGACGCGAATACAGAGAGCGATGTGCTGGATTTATGGAGAGCGAGATAGTACTATATTATAGACGGTTATAAATAGGCACCTTCTTCTGAAACCGGATCTTGCGGTGTCTCAGCGAAGCTCTGGAGGAACTAGTAACTGCATATTGCGTGGATAGCAAAGAGCGTGCCCCTAGACCGAAAGCTTCCTAAGCCAATGCGATGCGGTAACAACCGATTTGCTGACACATTGCATGCATAGTGGTCCCTAGGACTATGCCCCTACTCCTTATTCCAAAGCTTCACGATCTAGACTGACATTACAGACTACAGCTGAGATTTCGGAAATCCCTGAGGGGAAATGCCTGGCAAGAAAATGCCCCTTGCCCTTGATGACCCCTGCTGGCCCTGGGTCTGAGAGATTCCACCAACTTCTAGGTGCGCCTGAAATGTACAACTCCTCTCAAACCAACCAATACATTTCTAGGTGACCGGTCATCAGCCAGCCCAGGTCCCAGGCGACCAGCCAGCACTGGGGGGAGGGAGTTCGGGGGAGTGTCTTCTCCCCCTTTACCCCGAACCCTGGGCCTGCTTGGCGCGCTCTGCACGGCTGTCTGCGCGGCGGATGGTGCAGCAGAGGTTGGGTTGTGCGAGGGGAAGGCGGAAGAATGGCGGAAGCCTGGGCAGGTTTTGTTGCACGGGCAGGTTTTGTTGCACGGGCAGGTTTTGAGACGGGCTCGCCCCTGTGACTGCGGCGGAGTTGTTTTTGGAGGTGTCACCTGGATTTTGACGATGTTTTCAGGAGAGTCGCCATTTCACGAGCGACAAAATCGGCCCTTTCTGGAGAGTCGCTTCTTCGACGATGGCGCGTCGCAATGCGACAGTTAGTGATGTGAGCGTGTATTTCGCTACTTCTCCAGAACGCAATCTTATACAAAGCGGCTTCAAGCCGAATCTAAAATGTATATCGAGGTTAGCACAATCGAATCAGCAGAAACAGGTCTTGCGACAGCCAAACATCGCCAGGATTCGCCGCAGCCGCAAATTTCTGGGTGCGACAAACAAATGGGTGGTCGTTAGCACCCACCGCTACTTTGGGCAGGAAAGCGAAACCTGTATGCGAAGTCAAATTCGCCGCCTCTTGGCGGCTTCAGTCACGTTTCCCGTTGAGCTGTGACCGTCAGGGCGATTCGCCAAACCCAACCGAACAGAACCACACCCAACCCCTCAAAGCCCACACTGCCACACTGTCAGAAGCTCAAAAGCCTTGAAACATTGAACCTAGTTAGCGAAAAGGTGTCGTGGCGAAAAGCTTCACCAATATCAGTCGCACGTCTTCGTACACCAGTCGTCATACCTGTAATTCAGCACAGACGGAAATCTCTCCCAGGTAACAAGGTTGTCCACTCTCCTCCCACTTTCGCCACAGCCGCCTATTTTGACACACCCTCTCATTTCCCTCCTAACTTTAGTCTGTCGCCGCGCCATACCTCCAAACCCGCGGCTCCCAGCGGCGTACAACCCAACCCCAGGCAGCCGCAGTGCCCTCCCGTGTGCATTCGATTTGGGAGTCCCCCAGGCAAACTCTGGCCTCATTCGCCCGTCAGCCTTCCCAGTACTGGCTCGAGAGACCAGGGCTTCCCACTACTATCCCACATTTCCCACTGCTCCCTCCACATTCCACTGCCTAGGCTCTCAGTTTCTGCTCCTTGCCTCGCAAGCTCTGCTGCTGCTCCATCCGCTGGGTTTCGAGAGGAGGCCTCCGTCAACTTACACCGTCTCGATTCGCATTTCGTTGTCTCTCACGCTTCTCGCCGTGCGGAAAATGGACGCTAAGACGGCCTCCGCGAAAGCACCCGCGCAATGGCGATTTCGCGTCAATCTAGACTTTTCTCCTACAATTTCGCATCACGACGTAAATCTTCGATTAGCAGTCTCCGTTTTACGACTAGTTCTTTCGTCCCTGGATTAATAGTTCTCTTGCGTTGGTGTGCAGACTCGTGCTCGGCCGTCTTACAGCGACTCCAACGCGCCGAGCCGTCAACTCTCTGGGCCTCGATTCGCGAGTATCGACTTGCATCGACTTCGCCGCGCTGCGTCGTCTTCGTCGTCACGTAGCGATGCGCCGACCCCCGAGACGAGTCACTCTTCATACCGCCGATTCGTCAGCGCGAGCATCTTTCCCGTGGTAAGTGGCGGAGAAATTCTGCTGGGGGGACGAGTACTAGGCATCGCCGCATAGAGCGTCTGCAGTCCGTTTCTGGCTTGAGTCGGCTTGTTCCTCGCTGCGGCTAACCCTCCTTTCTCTCTCTATCTCTCTTCCTTGTGCTATTTTCTCCTCTCTTTCCCTCTCTTCCTTCCCACGAGTCAACCTGAGTCAACGGCGAAGCGTGGTGGCTGACTCGTAGCAACAACCGTCGCGGACTGGAGGCACTTTCTCAGCAACCGCCGGTGGTTGGCGATCACCGACCACCCGTCGCGACGGTCGGCAGCGATCGGCGGAGAACGGTCAACGGGCGGCGGCAATCGCGAACAGCGCCAATTCGGTCAATTTCGGTGGTAAAATGGCGCGTCTAAGCTAGAGGGGGGGCGAGTAGGCGTCCGCGCATAGAGCGTCTGCAGTCCGTTTCGCGTTTATTCGAGTCAGCTCTATTCTTGCTGCTACTAACGCAATCTTTCTCTGCTCTGTTCTTCTCTCTGCATGTGTGCTTGCTTGTGCGTGCCTGTGTGTGCCTGCCGCCGCTGGCCTAGAGAGCTGTGGAGCCCGCGTTTCTCGCACATGGAGCGCCGGAAACGGTGTCTCTAGTTGTAGCTTCCGTTCGACTCGGTTCGGCTCGGTTCGTCCATTTATCCCGAGGCATGGTGAGTGGAGGGTCTTGGCTAGAGGGGGGGCGAGTAGGCGTCCGCCGCATAGAGCGTCTGCAGACCGTTTCTGCTTCGAGTCGTCTTTTTCATCTCTGCGAATAACTCTCTCCCTCTCTCTCTTCTCTCTTTCTGTTCCTATATTTCTCTGTGACGATCTTGCTCGCGGCGAAATCGACAAATCGCCTTTGTCGAGGTCTGGTTTAAAGTTCGAGCTGACAGCTTCCGTCAACGGCACGGACGACAACCTGACGGCGCGTGCGATCGTCGTACGCGTGGCGGAAGCGCGCTGATGACACGCTCCGTTGAATCGGAAGCGTACGCGCGATGACATCGCCAACAGCCGCAGCCGCTGGATAAGGTTCGTCCGACGCTCTCTCACTACAACCCTTCGCTGCTCGCTCCGTTCTCTCCTCACCGATCGCTAATGTTTCACTACGAACCTACAGTGCTCGTTTCGTTTTCTCTGAGAATCTCTTTGGATCGCGCCGTTCTATGCTTGCAGTTCACTAACATCGCCTATGCCTGTGCCCAACGAAGATTTCTCTCTGACCTGAAATGAGCCCTCACCCCCTCTTTTCGCCCTGCTCGCAGATGGTCTTCGCAGGTTCAGGCTGGTTCAGTCGCACGCGAGGGAGGGGACGCAGCACGGTGGGAGGCGACAACACGACGACTCGAACGACGGCCACGCGAGAGCGAGCGAAGGGGAAACGACTTCACGACGACTGGAGCAGATGGCCTTCGCAGGCTGCTTCAGGACGCATGAGGGAGGGAGGGGATGCGACGATCCGATGCGAACGAATACGGCTCGCGATGCGAACGAGGGCTTATGGTTACTTCGTCGTCAAGCTTGTGGTTTTCGTCCAGCCCATGATTGCCGTCAAGCTGGTAACTTTCTTGTCCTCAAACCGACCAGATTCGTCGCATTCAGTACTTTCGTGAAGATTTGTCGTTCGTCAATCGAAGGGTTTTCGCTCAACTGATGGGGTTTTCGGCGAGGGAAAGTTACCATCCTTTTACTCTAATTGGGTCTAAAGTTTGCAGGTCGCCAACATTCGCTCGGTCGCGCGGCCAGTCGACAACATTGACGTGTGCGGCTTTGCGCAAATCACTCGCCTCTACGTTCGGGATAATGCGAAACGACGTCGATGTCGCATGCTCTATTCTCACACGCGACCTCATGGCGCGTGCGATCGTCAAATCTCCTGTGCGACGGCGGAGGGAAGGCGACTGAGAAAGGTTAGTCCAGCTCTCGCTAGTGATCAGGGCGTGTAGCCTACGGTTTCGTCGGCATAGTTCCGGAACTCAGTTCCGAACTCGACATACACAAGCCCCGTTCTTCGCTGGAAACATCGAGTTTCGAAACTCAACTATGATTGCTGTCCGTCAGTGGAACATCGAGTTTCGAAACTGGATGTTCCATCGTTCAAATGTTTGAACGACGTGCGAAAAGAAATATGCGAAGAAACGAAATCCAACCCATCGCAAGCCAATCACACGCTAGGCATCATCGCAGCACACATTTTGTTTTGTCACTTCCGCGATTGGCGGTTCAGGCGCGCGAGCAAATTCGATCGTTGACCTGGTGTCATTTCCCCCCGAAGGCCTCGCGTGTTCTTGTCGCACAGAACTGGAGGGAGATTTTCGAACGGCCGTCCGGACGACCGCTCGAAACTGGCGTCCTGACGTCGCTGGAACATCGAGTTTCGAAACTGAAGAATCCTTCGCAACAGGCATAGCGAGCTTACGTGCGAGTTGTGGCGAAATTTGTCACCACACCGAAACTCGGACGGAACTCAGTTCAGGAACCGTAGGTTACACGCCCTCAGCCTGGGCCGCTCGCTCCGCTTGCTCGCTCCGCCTACTGGTTACAAAAGGCCGCCATTCGCAAAATTCTGAAGCGCGTTTCGTTAGCTCTCCGGAATCTCCGCGTTGCTAATTCATTCGTTTCTGCTCTTGTCGCAGATGTGCGTGGCGAGTGGCGAGTGGCGAGTGGTGACCCTCGTGGCGGCTGTTGGCGACGCAATCCGTCGCAGCACCTTCTGCTGGCGACGTCGTCGCGCGCGCCAGTGGGGGCGAGTAAATCACTATCTCGGTCGTCTCGCCGCATCATGGTAAGCGCATGGAGAGCGCGCCCCCACCCTAGTCCCGTTCGCCTTCGCCTTCTGCTCGAGTCTGAGTCTCTACTTCTGCAGGCGCTAACATGCGTTTGTTGGTCTGTGCGCCGCTTGTAATGAGTCGATTTTTGAGTCGAAAAAAATCGACTCACTACTCAAAAATCGACTCAAAAATCGACTCACTACTTTTGCTGGCGCTAACATGCGTTTGTTGGTCTGTGCGCCGCTTGTAATGAGTCGATTTTTGAGTCGAAAAAAATCGACTCACTACTCAAAAATCGACTCAAAAATCGACTTGCTACTTCTGCTGGCGCTAACATGCATTTGTTGGTGTGTGTGCCGCTTGTCGGCTGCTCTCTGCTTCTCTGGAGGGAGAGGGGGAGTCTTCCCATCCTTCTCTCTCGCTCTCTCCAACCCTCCCCCTGGGATCACTAAAAGCCCCCCAAAAAAAAATTAAAAAAATCTCCAACCCTTCCCCACCCCTTCCCCCTTGTCTCTGCAGTGGCGGCAATACCTGTGCTGGCTGCAATGGCGGCAGCAGTGGCGGGGCGGGCGGGGCGTGGGAGGGAGCAGCACAGGAGTGTGGAGTGGAGCACAAGAGGGGGAGTGTGGAGTGAGCAGTACTGCATGCGGCAGGGAAGGGAGAGTATCAGGTGTGGGAATTAAGCAAAGGTGAGCCTCCTTTCCATGCCACCTCATTCACGCCCTCCTTTCCATGCCACCTCATTCATACCCTCCTTTCCATGCCACCTCATTCACGCCCTCCTTTCCATCCCATCTCATTCACGCCCTCCTTTCCAGTTTCTGCTGCTCATTCCCGTCTGCTCCAGCATACATTCTCCTCGTTTGCTCACAAGTATGCTTTGCTCTCTCATTTGAAAGCTCGTCACTGGTTGGGGCCCGACCCGGCTCACGAGCCACAGACCCCCCCTCCCCAGGTGCCCCCCTGAGGTAACCCTCCCAGGTTCAGCCCCCCTTTAGAGCCTCACAGCCCCCTCAGGCTCACCCACGCAGGTCCCCTAGGGGGTCTGAAGCTTGTGGCTCTGCCTCCACCAGTGGCCCCCTTCCCCCTTTCCCCCCCGCCTCCTCTCGGTTCTGCATGCATTGCTTGCACACGTTTTCGCAGCATTTCACCCCTCGTTTTTTCTTCCGCTCTCTCCTTTCCTCGGCCTAACTACCTCCTTGTGGCTATTCCCTCCCTCCCCTCCCCCCCCCCCCCCCCTCCCCTCCCCGCCCCTCCCTCCCGACCCCTGCCCTCCCCATCCCCCTGCAGGGCCGCTGCTGGAGCAGCTGCAAGCAAGCGCACTTGGAAGTGTCTAGCTGCAGGGAGCAGTGGGGGAGGGGAGGGGAGGGGAGGGGAGGGGAGGGGTGGGGAGGGGAGGGAGCAGAGGGGCACTTGGTGGTGCCCCACTGCCCGACAGCCTCAAGCTAGCAACGAGCTAAGTACTCTTGACTCCATGCACTGCGCCCACCCTTGTCTTTGAGTCCACTCATAAGCAGTCTCTAGCAGGCAGCCAGCTAAGCGCCCTTGACCCCATGCACCGCACACACCCTTCCCTTGCCTTGCCTCTGTTTCTGTCATTTCTGTCATTTGTTTTATTCCCTCAAAACTGTGCCACTGGTAGCAAGCAGTGCAGTGAACAAGCCACAGACCCCCAGCCTAATTGCAGGTATTGCAGGTATACCCCCTCAGGTGTGTCAGGTGTACCCCCTCAGGTGTGTCAGGTGTACCCCCTCAGGTGTTTCAGGTGTACCCCCTCAGGTGTTTCAGGTGTACCCCCTCAGGTGTTTCAGGTGTACCCCCTCAGGTGTTTCAGGTCAATCCAAACCCCCCTCCCCTTGGGTCTGTGGCTTCTGGCTCAGACTCTACCAGTGGCCCCCTCCCTTGGTCCTCTCCCTCGCGCATGGCTTGCAAGTCTCACTTTCCATCTGCCAGCAACTCTCCATTTCACTTCACTACCCCTCCCCTCCTCTCCCCCTCTCCCCTTCTCCCCCCCCCTCCCCCCTCCTCCTCCCCCCATCCCCCAGCAGGGCCTCTGCTGGCGGATCTGCAAGCGCCTGTGCAGTGGCTGCTGTGACTGCAGGGGGAGGGGGAGCAGAGGAGCAGGGGGAGCAGCAGAAAGGGAGCACGTGGGTGGTGGAAGGCTGTTGTGAGGGGAGCAGAGAGTTCTGCAGCTGCCAGCAGCGCCATCAACAGCAGGCGCAGCAGCAGATAAGTGCTTTCTCGCACCCTCATGCCCTCATGCCCTCATGCCCTCATGCCTTCTTCTCCTTGCTTTCATGCCTGCTTTAATTACCTCTCTGTTTGTCACACTCTCACATGCACTCGCTTCGCACCTCATCAGTCATCCATGCTCCATGCTCCATGCTCCATGCTCCATGCTCCTTAAAACCAACCCACTTGCAGCAGCCTTGCTCACATGGTGCAGACCAACCCCCCACCCCCCCCACCCCCCCCACCCCCCTTTATTCCAGGTATCCCCCCCCCCCGCTCCCCCCCCTCCCCCCAATGTTAAGCCAACCCCTAAATTTCAAATACTACCCTAGGGTCTGCACCATGTGCCTAGTGCTGCTCCAGTAGTCCCTCTGCTGCTATCACCTGCCATCCCATCCCATCCCACCCCATCCCACCCATGCACACCTCTCACGCTTCTACCCCTAGCTCCTTACTCACTGCTCTACAGCTTTCCCCTTGCAGGTGGAGGGGAGGGGCGTGGGGATCAACACCGCCAATCCCCCACACCCCGCCACTGGGGCAATGCAGGTGCCATGGGGCACACGGGGCGCATGCACCTGAATGTAAGGGGCACATGGGCGCACATGTAGAAGTGGAAGCACATGGGGCACACGGGGCGCATGCACCTGCATATAAGGGGCCCATGGGCGCACATGTGGAAGTGGAAGCACATGGGGCACATGGGGCGCTGGGAGGAATGCTGGTATGAGGGAGAGTATCTTGGGTGGGGTTGGCGGCTCATGGTGAGCCCCTTTTTAGTTTTGAGGCGCCTCAAAACTAGACTTGTTTACACTGCTGCTCGTCTCGATCATGGCTAACGGCTCATGGTGAGCCCCTTCTCTCACCAGCCCCTCCTGCTGCTGCAGATGATGCCCCTTCACTGCGCTTCCAGCACTGGCATGCTTTGGCTGTTCTGTGGGCCGCCCACTCACTCCTGGATCTCACTTCCTTCGCTTTTTCCTCTCCCCTCCCCCACCGCCCCCACCCCGCCGTCTCCCAGGGGGGCAGACCTGCGAGCTGGGGGCTTCTTCTGGCTGCAGGGAGCAGCAGGGGAGGGGAGGGGAGGGGAGGGGAGGTGAGCGAAGGGGAGGGGATAGGGGGACAACTGCTCTCAGCGCTGCTTTCGACTTGCAGCTAAGTAATCGGTCCTCATTAGCCTCTCAGGGCCTCCTGTATTGCCATTTGCACTCCGTTATTGCTATTTGCACTTCGTTCTTGCCATTTGCACTTGGTTATTGCCATTTGCACTTCGTTATTGCCATTTGCACTTCGTTATTGCCCTCTGCACTTCGTTATTGCCATTTGCACTTCATTATTTCCACTTGCACCTCGTTATTGCCATTTGCACTTCGTTATTCGGCCGCCTCCTAACCCCCCCTCTCCCCTCGTCAGTAGGTTGCAGCATCATGGAATCGTTTAGAGACTGCAGCAGAGGTAGCTGAGCAGCAGACAGCAGCAGCAGCAGCAGCGGGGGCTGGGTGGTTAGAGGGCAGGGTAGGATTCGGAGTGAGAGAGCGAGGTATGGTATCAGGTACAGGTATGGTCGACTCACCCCTCTGTCTCCTTCCTTCCTACAGCATGTGGATGTGGAGCCTTGGAGCAAGGGCAGGAGAATGGAGCGCACCCCCTCTCTCACCTCCTCTCCTCTCCCCCCTTACCCTTGTCCCAGCAGGACCACGCCTTGAGCAACGGAAGGTGCACTCCCCACTGTCGCCCCACTCACCACCCTCTTCCCCCCCACCCCACTCAACCCCCGTCCCCCTACCTCTTCTTTCCTCCCGCTCCCCTTCCCCCAGCAGCATCACGCCTTGAGGAAAGGAAGGAAGGTGCAGTCCCCACCCTCTCCTCCCCTCCTTACCAGGTTGCAGCATCATGGTGCTCCACTCGGCTATGGTAGGTGGATGTAAAGGGAAGGGGGGGAGGGGGAGAGGGAAGGGGGGGGAGAGGAGAGCAACAGGAGCAAGCATGCAGCTCACTCCCTTAGGGGCAGCACCCTCGGTGGTTGCTGCCTTGTGGGTTGGGCGTGGTGAGTGGAAAGTGTGTGGCTCGGAAGTTGGTGCTCAGGTACCAACACTGGCGTATCGTATAATGGAACCGGCCAGAGCCGTGCGCGCCGGCTCTGGTTGGGAGTCCCCTCCTACGACGCTGAATGTGGCGGGATTTGAGTCTTGAGCCGCCCGCGCATTTTCCACTGCCACTGCTCGCCCCACGAGGCAGAGCCATGGGGGGTGCTGTTTCCCAAGGGGAGGGGGTTGTGTGCTGCTCCTAGTGCTGGGGGGAGGGAGGGGAAGGTGGGGAGGGGGATGGGGGGCTTGGGAGGTGAGCTTGGGTGGTGGTGGTACAAGGGGGCCTGAAACCCCCGGGGTGAGTTGAGTGAGGGGCAAAGGAGGGCGTCTTCAAACCACCACTCTAAGGTGAGTGACAGGGGGGGAGGATGGGGGCCTGAAACCCCCTGGGGTAACAAGAATGAGCGGCGATGGAGGGGGGCTGCAATCACCAGTGTAAGTTGAGTGGCGGGAGAGGAGAAAGGGGGGGCTGAAACCCCCCGGTGCAACTAGAGTGATGGGTAATCGAGGCGTCTGCAACCATCGCTGTAAGTTGAGCGAGAGGCGGAGGAGAAAGGGGGGGCTGAAACCCCCCAAGGCAACTAGAGTGATGGGCATTGGAGGAGGCATGTGCAACCACCCAGCACTGTAAATTGAGTGAGAGGAGGAAGAGAAGTGGGGCTGAATTCCCTGGGGGAAGTAGAATGAGCGGCAATATTGGGGGGGCTACAAGCATCACTGTCTGGTGAGTGAGAGGGGGAGGAGAAGAAAGAGTGAGTGAGGGGCAAAGGAGGGGCGGTGAAGCCTCCATGGTAGAGTGAGAGCAAGGCAGGGGAGGCAGGTTGGAGCTCCCAGGGTATGGCTGGCGAGGGGCAGGGGGGGAGAGGGGGGTTGAAACCCCCAGGTTAGGGCGAGCAAGGGGCAGAGGAATCCCCCTCCTCTGCCTTTGGCTCGCCTTAACCTGGGGGTTTCTGCTCCTCTCTTGCCTCTCAATCGCCTTACCTTGGGAGTTTGAACCGCCCTCCCATGTCTTGCCCTGGCTTTCCGTGGGATTTTCACCCCCCACCGCGGCACCTTACTCGCCTTGCTCCCTACCCTTCCCTTTGGAGGTAGCAAAACCCCAGGGTAAGGGGGGCTTAAACCCCTAGGGTGGGGTGAGTGGAAGGGATGGGTTGAGCCTAGAGCTCCTCATGATAGGTGGCAAATGAGGATTGGCGGCAAATGAGGATTGGCGGCAAATGATGATAGGCGGCAAATGATGATAGGCGGCAAATGATGATGCCCTTTGCACTTGGTTATCATGTGTTGCCTGATGGCCTGTCATGTGTTCTCATGATAGGCGGCAAATGATGCCTAGAGGCAAATGATGATGCCCCACGTGCTGCCTGATGCCATAAGGCCTATCATGTGAGTCTGTTGGTTTCCCCTGTTCCAAGGTGAGACCATCCAAGCAAGTTCAGTGAGAGGGAGAGGAGAGAAGCGGCTTTAGACTCCCTGGGTGAGTTGAGTGCAGCTTGTCGAGGGGCGATTGAGGGCGGCTGCATCTACCCCACCAGAGTAAGTTGGGTGAGAGGGGGATGGAAGGGGGCCTGAAAACCCCCAGGGTGAGTTGAGTGAGTGGCTAAGGGGGCCTGAAACCTCCAGGGTGAGTTAAGTGAGCAGCAAAGGGGGGTCTGAAACCCGCACGGTAGGGAGAGAGAGGGGCCAGGGAGGCTGAAATTCCCTTGGTAAGTTCAGTGGGGGGCAGTGGAGGGGAGCTGCTGCTACCACAAGAGAAGTCAGTTAAGGGACAGATAGCGGGGGCTGCAGCCTCCAGCGTCAGTTGACTGAGAGGGAGAGGAAAAATGGGCCCTGAAATCCGTTGGGTACGTTGAGTGAGCGGCAAAGGGGGCCTGGAACCCCCAAGGTGAGTTGAGTGAGCGGCAAAGGGGGCTATGAAACCCGCAGGGTAAGGAGAGTGATGGGCAAGGGGGGCTGAAACCACCTTGGTAAGTTGAGTGGGGGGCGAAGGGGGCCTGAAACCCCCAGGGTGAGTAGAGTGAGTGGCAAAGGAGTGAGGGACAAGTGGAGGGGATTGGTTGCAAGCACGGGAGAAGTGAATAGAGGGATAGACAAGGGGGGCTGCAACAAGCATGGGAGAAAGGGGGCCTGAAACCCCTTGGGTGAGTAGAGTGAGCCAGCAGCAGAGTCAGTTGAGTGGAGGGAGATGAGGGAGTGGCGCTGAATCCCCCGGGGTGAAATGGAGGGCGGCTGCATCTACAACCCTTGTAAGTAGAGTACAGGGGGGCCTGAAACCCCCTGGGAAACTAGAGTGATGGGCAATGGAGGCGTCTGCAACTCCACCGTACATTGAATTTCCTGGGGTGAGGAGAGTGAAGGGCAGAGGAGGAGTAGTTGAGTGAGGGACAATGGATTAGTGGCACTCTTGAGGAGTGGACTTGGGTAGTTGGCGGACTTGGGTAGTTGGCGGACTTGGGTAGTTGGCGGACTTGGGTGGTTGGCGGACTTGGGTGGTTGGCGGACTTGGGTGGTTGGCGGACTTGGGTGGTTGGCGGACTTGGGTGGTTGGCGGACTTGGGTTGTTGGCGCAGGTGACATGTGCTGGGGGCAGGTGAGGTGTGTTTCGGTGCAGGTGACATGTGCTGGGGGCAGGTAAGGTGTGTTTCGGTCCAGGTGACATGTGTTGGGGGCAGGTGAGGTGTGTTCCGGTGCAGGTGACATGTGCTGGGGGCAGGTGAGGTGTGTTTCGATGCAGGTGACATGTGCTGGGGGTAGGTGAGGAGTGTTCCGGTGCAGGTGACATGTGCTGGGGGCAGGTGAGGTGTGTTTCGGTGCAGAGTGGTGGCAGGTGAGGTGTGTTTTGGTGCAGTTGACATGTGCTGGTGGCAGGTGAGGTGTGTTTCGGTGCAGGTGACATGTGCTGGTGGCAGGTGAGAAACACTGGGCGCAGCGGGGATGTGTTGGGAACAGGGTAGATGTATTCTGTTCTGGTGGGATGTGTGATCTGGGGAGGTGAGACCTGACAGGCGAGAACCGAGGGGGGTAGACCTGAGGGGGGTAGACCTGAGGGGGGTAGACCTGAGGGGAGTAGACCTGATGGGGTGAGTCCTCAGGGGGTGAGACGAGGTTGAGAGGAGAGGAGGTCAGACCAGGGGGTGAGACCAGGTGGTGATCAAGGCTCTCGCTAGGCATTTTCCACTTTCTAGGCGATCAGACGGGCCCTTCACGCTCGTCTGATCATCAGACGCCCGATCTTTCCGTTTCTGAATAATCAGAGGTTTTTGAGTAGATTTTCTAGGAAATCAGAAGTTTCAGGCTTGCATTTCTAACTACAAGTATTTCACCGGTAATCATTACGCCAGAACGATCTTTCCTACTCAGAATCACAATCTATATCTCTAGTCTTCCCACACAGTGATGTCATACATATGTGTGTATGTTTAGTAGATTACATAGGGTCATGCCATAGAGAGTACAACCCATTAGCTATAAACCCCTGTATGCTTCCATTCTAGTCAACCGTTCTAACTTTAAGATGATATCATGAGTAGGTTAGGTCCCCCCCCCCCCCCCCACCGTTTCGCTTTAGGTCCTAGCCGCCCTGATGGCCCCACTGCCCCGTCGCCTAGCTGGCCCGTTTGCCCCGTCTCCTAGCGCCTGCTGGCCCCGCAGCCCTGTCACCTAGCGCCTAGCCGCCCTTGGCCCCGAGGCCCGGTCACCTAGCGCCTAGCCGCCCCGCTGGCCCCGCGGCCCTGTCTCCTAGCCACCCCGTCGCCTAGCCGCCACGCGGCCCTGTCTCCTAGCCACCCCGTCGCCTAGCCGCCACGCGGCCCCGTCGCCCAGCTGCCCCGCGGCCCGTCGCCTAGCCGCCCACTGAAGGTGTTAAAATTGATCCGAGAAAAAATTGCCACAATCCGCAACTGGGAGCCGCTGATAAACGTCAAGAAGTTGCAGAGTTTTCTGGGGTTCATCAACTACGTGCGCAGTTTTATCCCTAACATGGCGGCGTCAAATGTCTGAAAACCAGGATCTAGGTAGGAGGAGGAGCCATAGAAATGGCGTAAGGTTTTAGGGTAGGAAAGTTGGTGAGAGAAAAGAGGACTAGAAAAGAAGAGAGAGGGATACAAGGAGGGGTGTTGTACCCTCTACAGAAATGTTCAGTAACCACTACCAAGCCTACAATTATATACTAACATATATAATTTAACACACCCCCTAAGCTTGGTAGCAAGGACCCACACATTCCCACACCCCCTAGCCTAGCACCCTCATTCCCATCAGCCACGACTACTCCAGCAGGGCCCAACCCCAAGGCCCTGGAAATGGCGACGACAGCCGTCCCGGCAGCAGCGACAGCGACGGCGACGACGGGCGTGCGGCGGCAACAGGCCTGCGGTGATGACAGGGGCGACGGCGACGACTTCGGCTTATGTCATCGGTAACGGCAGCGGCCCCCGCCCTTCCGACGGCGTGTCCAAACTCCGCGACAGGGGGACGACTGGCGAGAGTCAGGCGACGGCTGTGGCGAAGAGGAGGGGACAGAGGGAAGGGGGAAGGGGCGGGGCTTCAGATCTTCAGCACGGCGTCATTGCTGGCGCGGCACTTACTGGCGTGCGGGCGGGCTGCAAGTCCAGCAGCGACGCAGGTGGTTTGCGACGGCAACAGGCCGACGACATCGCCACGACACCACTACGACGCCACCACAGCGTGGCGTCGGGGCCGCGGCTGCTCGTCGAAACTGAGACGACAGCACACAGAGGCCGCCGCGGCATCTCAGAAAATGTGCCACGGCGGCAGGCAAACGGAAGGCCGCGACGGCGGCGAAGTAAGGACGGGTACGTGGCGGAAGCGTGGCCCGTGCGACGAGATGGGGCCAGCGCGGATTGACGGGGCCATCGCGGCGCGACGGGGCGAGCGCGGCATGACGGGGAGGGAGGGCGCGGCGGAAGCGAGGGGAGCAGGCCCGGGAAGGGAACCTGCTCTGTTACCATGTTTGAAAACTAGGATATAGGTAGGAGGAGGAGCCATGGAAATGGCGTGAGGTTTTAGGGTAGGAAAGTTGGTGAGAGAAAATAGGACTAGAAAAGAAGAGAGAGGGATACAAAGAGGGGTGTTGTACCCTTTACATAAATGTTCAGTAACCACTAGCAAGCCTACAATTATATACTAACATATATAATTTAACATCAACTGCCCCGCTAACAAACTTTGTTGCAAGGGAGTTTTTTATGAGTAGGGGGAGAGGCAGCAAGCTGCGTTTGACCAATTGAAAACTTAAATTATGACACCACTGTCAAACACATATGTGTGTTGTTTTAGACCATATAATGTTGTGCCTTAGAGAGTACAACTCAGTAGGTTATAATCCCTTGTACTCACACTTTCTAATCATTCTTTCAGTTTGACATGGTATCATGAGTAGGTTAGGTCCCCACCGCCCACCCGCGCTTCCGCCGTAGGCCCTAGCCGTCCCGCCGCTCGCCCGCTCGCGCCGGCCCGTCACCTAGCGGCCCCTCGGCCCCGTCGACCAGCAGCCCCGCGGCCTCGTCCCCTAGCGGCCCTGCGGCCCTGTCCCCTAGCGGCCCCGCGGCCCCGTCCCCTAGCGGCCCCTCGGCCCCGTCGATCAGCGGCCCCGCGGCCCTGTCCCCTAGCGGCCCCTTGGCCCCGTCGACCAACGGCCCCGCGGGCCCGTCCCCTAGCGGCCCCGCGGCCCCGTCCCCTAGCGGCCCCTCGGCCCTGTCGACCCGCGGCCCCGCGGCCCCTCGGCCCCGTCCCCTACCGGCCCCGCGGCCCCGTCCCCTACCGGCCTTTTGGCACAGACGACCAGCGGCCCCCGCGGCTACGTCCTGACGCCGGCCCGTTCCCTTAGCCGGCCCCGTCCCATAGCCGGCCCCGTCCCGCCGCCGATCCGTTCCCCTAGCCGGCCCCGTCCTGCAGCCATCCCCGTCCCGTAGCAGGGCCCGTCCCGAAGCTGGCCCCGTCGCCCTGCAGACCCCGCCGCACAGCCGACCACGCCGAGCCGACCCCACCAGGTAGCTGACCCCGTCCCCCAGCCGGCCCCCTCGCCGCGTTGGCCCATTCGCCCTGCCAGCCTCACCTTCCAGCCGGCCCGCGCTGACCCTGCACCGCATTGCACCGCACTGCACTGCACCGCACTGCACCGCCCTGCACCACCTTGCACCGCACTGTACCGCACTGCAGTGTACTGCCCCGTCCTTCTGCTGCCGCACCAACCCTGATGGCGGACTCGGTGCTGTGCTTCGGCGCGGAGGGCCAGCCGGTCGAGTTCGACACGTGGCTCGTCGACCTCCGCCGGCACCTCACTGGTCAGCGGCAGGATAGCCACTCCTTGGCCGTCCACCTCGACGGTACGCTCCCCTGCCCTGACCCCCCTGCTGCCTTGCCCGCTGACCCCTCGTCTGTTGACCGTGAGTCCGCTGCCGCTGCCGCCCTTGCCCGCTCAGTCTGGCTGTCGCGTGACGCAGTCGCACAGCTTGCGATCAGTTATGCCCCCCCCCTGTCTAAGCGCCCACGTTTTCAGTCGGTCAGGATTGCGCAAGAGTTCCTAGAGGCTGTTGTCGCGCACTACTCCACCCCACCCGCTGCCTTAGTTAGTCGTCTGATCTTGCCCATGCTCTTTCCCGATCTCGCGAATTTCCCCACGGTCGCCGACCTGGCCGCCCACCTACGCACGCTAGACGCAACCTGGCGCGCTGCCTGCACTGAGGCCCAGCTTAGTGTGTTTCAGCCCCCCATCTGCTCTACCCTTTACCTGCTTGCCACCCGCCTTCCTGACCACCTTGCTACCGCCCGCGATCACTTCCTTAGTCTCCACCTCGCTGATCTCACCCTCACTGACTTTGTCGACACGCTGTCTGCCATAGAGACCTGCCAGCGCTCTATCGTCCAGTCTAGCGGTACTGTGCCGGTCACTATCTTTCAGGGTTGTGCCCCCGCTTAGTGTACTTTCTCTGACGGTTCTGCTGCTGTCGCTGAGACAGCGCCTGCTGTGGCGACACCGACCGCAGTGCAGTTCCGTCCGGGAAAGGGTCGCTGCCCCAAGGCAGGGCGTGGCGGCGGTAGTGGAGGAGGGGGTGGAGGCGGTGGTGGAGCCGGGTCGCCCGGTGCACCCCATTTTCTATGACCGTTCGCCATTTGCTACGCCGCTCACCAGCTTAACCTGTGGCCGCACCCCCAGCAGCCGCAGGTTTCGCCGACCCTTCTTTGGACCTGGTCCCCTGGTGACGTGTCTGCGTTCCACGTCTAGGGCTGCCTTGCTCACATTTGTGCTTCTGGCACGGACAAGCTTACTGCCCACACCGTCCCCTATGTCTTCCTCGGTTTTGCCCTTGACTCGTCTGACTGGCACTTCTACCACCCGCCATCTCACCGTTTCTTTCACTCTCGCGACGTCACCTTTGACGAGTCCGTCTCCTTCTACCACAACTTTCCCCACCGTGGTCCCCGATTACTCCCCCCCTGTTCCTGGTTCCCACTTACTCGATCGCCCCTGCTCCTCCCCCTCCCCGTCCTGCCCCATCTGGTGTGTCTCATGTCACCCCCCTCCCGTCGGTTGTCCCGGTTGAGGAGTCTGCTGACTCTAGTGGCCCAGCGGCGCAGTCCTTGCCGCCTGCTCCTCCCCCGGTGTCTCCTCCTCTGCCGTCTCAGCAGCCGTCGTCGCAGCCGCCGCTGCCGTAGCCATCGTCGCAGCCGCAGCCACCGCAGCAGCAGTTCGTCGATCTGAAAGAATGCTAAAGCAAGAGCGCTGGTAAAGTGTGGAGCGATTCCGAAAGAGTAACGCTATTCGAATAGCGTGCTAGGCGCTGGTGGTATTTGGGCAGAGTTTGCCTTCAACTACTTGGTCGAAATTCGAGTAGAGTAGAAGTTCACTAGAAATATATATCAAAGTACAAATAAGCACGCAAATATATAGGCAAGTGCAAACCCAACCAAAGTTGCGTGGCGCTGCAGGTGTAACCAACCACCCCGAAGTTGCCGAAGGGTTGGGCGAACGCGCCTCGCCCAATTCTCCAACCCAAATCAGCAAGGTTGGGTTTGCCGTGTACGCATCCAACCAGCAAGGCAAACGCTACCTTGCTCCTCACGAAAAACCATCGCGATAGCCACGACTACTTATGACTCGTCAGAGTCACTGGTCGTCGTGAGCATCTCCGGACTAGTCCGCACACACTAGACATAGTCTTCGGACCACCAGGTAAGTCCATACACCTTGGTCACGCCAACCCGCAGCTGCCAGGCAACTGGTGCACCGACATAAGTCGGTCAACGCCTGGCTGCCCGCAGCTGCACTAGGGCTTCCAACACTCCCCTGCACTACTACAGCAAGGCCCTTTATAATCACAGGGCATACACATACAAGCATACAAGCCAAAAAGGAACACAGAG